CTAATAGAGGTTCAAAAATTCGTCGGTGGGCATCGTCACTGACTCGACACCACTCTGCAAACATAAATAACTGCCATCAACAATAGTCAATTTGCGCTTGACACCATGACATAGAGTCGCTGAGGTTTGTTGCAAGAACACATAAAAACCCAGTTTGGTTCTAACCCAGTTACCAGGAATTATTTTCTTTAAAAGAAAATGACGATAATCCCTCAAAAAATCGTTTTGCTGAAGATTTTTGGGGGGTTCAGTCCCCCCCGTCCCTCCGGGATTTACGGCCCTGCATACGTACATAGATACATACATACATAGATACATACATACATAGATACATACATTAGACATATGCATACGGAATACTTGAAATGATCTTGACCCAGAAACGTTTTGCCAGTCAGCTTGGGACGAAGGTAGTTGCTCGTGCCAGACTTTCTTGATGGTCATTAAAAGAGGTCATAGCTGAATTACCAATAAGGCTATTTTTATGTCACAGTATATAAAAAGCACATTATATAGATACTATCATAAAAAGCTTTTTGCGGAATCTGCTCCGATGCAGAAGACACCATAGGATGGTTGGCAAAATATACATAAGACATGGTAAGCTGAAGGATAGTTCACTCGTGCAAAAGTGTACGAGATTTCCAGAATGATTTCTATAGATTTTCTGATAAAAAATAGGATATCTACCAAAGGTGTAACAGATGTCCATAGAATAATATCGCTATCATATCAAGATTCATCATATTTATCAGGCAAAAAGAAAAGTTGCTTTCAAGTTTCCCAGAATAAATGGGGGCGTTTTTGGGGCTTGAACTTTTTTCGAAATGTCTTCTACTTTCAATGCTTCTCATATCTGCCAATCGCTTGCCCCCTTGGGGCTAGACCAATGGTTAGTAGGGTAATAGACAACAATGTCTCCATTGCCTCCCCCTCATTTTTATCGAACCTAGAGAAGGCTATTCCGCAATATTATACAACGTAGTACTGAGAAGGTTTAAGAGCAGCTTAAGTGGTTTTTATTGCCTGGCTACACTTTTGATCTCTTATGAATCCCGTTGCGTTTACTTCGACGTGTCTTCGCTTAGGATAAGGCTGAGTGCGGAAATCTAAACACTTAATCCTCTTTGCATGACTTGAATTCTTTACGAATTTTCAAACTAAAAGCGAGATTAAATAAGATATCCATATAATTGTTCACGGAACAGTGTTATAACCAGCAAAGAAATGAAGACGAAGAATTAAAACCGCAGCATGGAATAGGTCCGTCAACTTGAAATTCCAGGCGGCCATTGCTACGAAGCGACAAACCTAAGATTAAAGATCACACAAAAAGTATTTGATGTCATAACCTCTTCTGTTTTCGTACCAAACATGAGCTGATTGGGTCTGGGTAGACGGCTAATTACCAATTTTCTTCTCAACAACTTGCAGCTTACCCTATACGATAGTTTCATTTGAACTAAAACAGAAGCTAAAAGCCAAGTTTCGAACATTGGTCTCATTGCCCCCCGAGGCCGACGAGTCAAGGGGCAAATCATCCAAAAAAACTCCTACATTTTGGTGAAATCCTATTGTTTTATTTGAAAATCCCTGGCAATCATTTCGTGTTCTTTATTTTCTCGATGGCAAATGAATAGAATAGGGGTGGGGTGCTCTCCTCTCGTAAGTTTCACACTCCTTTACAAGTTCTTCCTTTAAGAATTTCCACAATATATTACGCAGGCTAGTCATAGTAAATTAATTTTCCTAAAGTGGTGCTCTCTTTTCGTAATGAATAGAATAGGGGTGGGGTGCTCTCCTCTCGTAAGTTTCACACTCCTTTACAAGCTCTTCCTTTAAGAATTTCCACAATATATTACGCAGGCTAGTCATAGTAAATTAAATTTCCTAAAGTAACTTTGGTTTATTTTTGGAATGTAGTTGTAATTTTAGTAGGGGAATTTTAAAATTAAACGTAAACTGAAACTGGTCCTGACGTCAATTAGATGGAAAGTACCAAATATTTAGTAGTTATTGCCACATGTAATTGCTTTCCATGTACATATTATTGCATGCATTTTGTAAGAAAGTTGCTATGCAGAAGAAGGAGAGTGTTTCGTAAGGGAGAGGTCTTTAGCACTAAGCAGGTAAACAAATAAGAAAACCACGAAGCTTAATTGATCATTCAATCAATTACTAGATATTTTTTTTTAACAAAAGGTGCCATATCCAAGGATAGCGGGCATTTTACAGATTGAGTGGGCTAAAACGTTTTTTTGGAGGGGAGGGCAAACGTGCTAAAAAGCCAGGAGCAGGCCGATTTTTGGGATGATTTCAGGCACATTTTGGAATTTTTTTTGGGGGAGGGGCTAAAGCCCCGTAGCCTCCCCTCCCCTTCCGCGGTCCCTAGATACCTCAAAATGCAAAAACGTTCAAAACTCCTTGTGAGGAAACTGAACCCTTAATACTGACACTGCAATTATGTCTAAACAGTGTCACGAATGGCTCTTTTTTGCTCAACTTATAGAAAAATACACGCAGGCACTGATACAGAACGTTTTGGTACAGCTGGAGCTCGTTCCGACGGCACTGATACAGTGCGAACATACTACATTGAGGGTTTTTATTTTGATACTAGGCCATTTGATCAGAACGTTTCCCTCTAATCTACAAATGCCCGAGGAGCCTGTACACTTCAGTGGGCTTACTGTTAAAATATGAAATAATACAAGAACTACTTATTAGTATATAATTTTTTACATCTTCAACCATAACGGGCATTGGGCTTCTTAAAAGACATTTCTCGTTATATGATATGATAAACTCTGAATTTTCAAAGTCATTTCCAAATTTATTTTCAGAACAGTCTTACATTGCACGTCATTGCTCGAGCCATCACGACAAAAGCGACCTTGCAGAGGGCGTCGATAGAACTGACCAATCTGACGAAGGCGATTACACTCTTTTTCTAAGATAACAATTTATAAGAACCCGAGCCTCAAAACTGGTCCCAAGTTAAGAACAAATTAGAAACAAGCTGAGGATAAGCAACTTTAAAATGTAATTTTTAACAATGTTTCATCTCGAAAACGAGGTATTGTAATCTGGGAATGCTTTTTCGGCGAATTTTCAACCCTGTCAGCAAACGAAGGACATCTCACTCCTTTTTGGCAAACGATGCCTCAACACTTTCTTAAGGCCAGTTTACACGGTGAGTTTTTTCATCGTCTGCCTAATGAGGCAAAGTTGCATGAGTTTTTGACTCGCGAGTCAAAACGTTTAGACGATGATTTTTTGAATCACGAGTCATTTTCATACCAAAACAAACCTCTCGCAAATTATAGCACAAAAGGAGGTCCCACAAGGAAAAAGGCTGTAGTTTGCCTCAAAGTTGCGGGGTTAGAGAATTAAACAGAAATTGTATAGAAAACCAAGTTTTTGCACTTGATTGTTTGGCGAGACTAACGCGGGGACCACCAACTAAACCCAAATATTTTGCAACTCTTTTCTCGGCTATTTGGAGTTCATGCCTATTGTGATAGACTTCTGAAGGTACTATTGTGATAGATCTCCCGAAAAGCCGCTTTCTTTGCTAGTTCTATATCATTTAAAGATCCTTCTTTGCTTTGAATATCCATGTTTTACCAGTATAGCAAACCCTGCAAATCGCTTCCAGAGAAACTGTCCGTTTATATCCCTAGATATTCGAAGCATGTGATTCATTCTTCTTAGTTGATTGGTTAATAGCGTTAATCCTTCATGCGTTGTCGCAGGAAATAGAACATGTTCTGTTTTCATAAGTTGTCGCAAGGGCAATTAAATGTAGACGCAAGCCCCGTTTACACGATGCGATTTTGACTCATGAGTCAAGGAAATGCGATTTTGACTCAAGTCTGTTTTTGACATGAGTGCGATTTTGACTCAAGGAAAAAACGCACCGTGTAAACTGGCATTTCGAGCGCAATAGCTTACAATCGCACTGCTTACACTCTAATAACTTACGAAAAATAGAGGCTGAGATTTTCATTAAAATTAAGAGCAGCCAGCCTTAACTACAATTTACTCGTTCTTATAAAAGGAGGTTTATCTAGCCTCCGGGCGACAAACTCAAGAACAGGTCTCGCAGAGGGCGTCGACCGAGATCATCAATCTGACGTAGCCGAATATCTCGTCTCTTGGTTACTAATACAAGTAAGACGCTTCTTAACATTAGGCACGACAGAATATTGGTGGTCATCTTCTATGTTTTGCAAGACCACCTTCAAGGCATTGCTATCAAAGTCCCGCCACAATTCACTAAGCCATATTGTCTGATAGGAAACAAGCTCATCACTTGATCACACCATAGTGATCACACCATCCAAACTTCAATCTGTGTGGATATCATAGGGATCATGAGGTGGGGATCATGAGGTGGGGATCGTGAGGTGGGGATCATGAGGTGGGGATCATGAGGTGGGGGTCACAGTATGGGGGTCTTGAAGTGGTGATCCCAGAAGGCAAAGGTGACCGAAACCTGATCAGCTTTCTAAAATCAGCGTTCTACACCATCATTGATAAATCATACTTTAATTTTAAAAAAAGCAACACAGGAAGGCCGTTGTTAGACTTTGTATCAGATTGAACCAGTTACTCAATTTACTGTTACTTCATAGTAGATTACATATAATACAGTGAATAAAACTGGGTACAATTCCAGTTATCATCAGCTATCATATCTTCACCAATAATAACACGCGGTAAGCTTTTGTTTGTTAAACTTTAGTGGCTTGCGATTTGTAAAAACCAATCAAACACGCTATTCTTCCTCTCATGTTACTTTTGATCCGCATTAGGGCATAAATTTTCTGCTTACCTTTGGACATTATGCGACTCTGACGAGTGTCAGAAGAAAATGAATCTAGTATTAAATGACTTGTTTCCGCTCACAGGTGCTATGATCATTTGCTATGATCAAGTTGACTTTGGTCCTTGACTGTGAAATCGAAAGAGTATCAAGAGAAAAAAAACATGAAAGATATTTGGAAGCATCTAATAACAAGAAATAAGAATCTTAAAAAAGCTACATACAAATTAATGGATTAATGGAGACATTTCTAGATTTCTAATATATGATATTGGGGATAAAACTTGATAATACATTTTACACAAATAAACAGCCATTTCTAATAATGATAATAATAATCCGCGATAAAAGCAGTAATCAGAGTTGTCACATGATGAAGACCCAAGCTAAAACGTTACCATGCCAACAGCCCATTGAGAGTCAGCTTTAACTGGATTTTCTATGGTTGCTAGCATTGCATACTGCAAAGACCAGGCCAAGGTTCATTTCCCTTTGTAACATTCGCAAACAGATTCATATCTAGAGTTAGACGATTTCGAACAATATAATGTAACAGGTTTGTTTCTATTTCGTAATGATGTCATAAGAAATATTAACCTTATAATAAATGAGAGTTCGTATCCCGTTTCCTTAACTTCATATATCTCAGGCAGGGGTATTCTCTACAGCAAATTGCCCTCGATAATTTAATCGTAAAATTGCACTGGGTGTAAAAATTGTTACATTAAAAGAGTCTAGATTCGAAGCAAGGACTAGGGTCGGAAGACTAGGGTCGGAAGACTAGGGTCGGAAGACTAGGGTCGGATTGTGTAAATGGAAGGGATTTGACCTTCATCACAAAGGCAACATTTATGACCACTTATATTTTATTTTCAATCATCAAGAGTAAGCTGTTATTCAACTTCCTCCAAATATCCTTCTGTCTCTGGTTAACAAAACTGGCACAGCACCAATGCTTTTTATAATGATATTGTCCATGTCCAAACATTCAATGATATTACATGCCAAAACACTCGACATGATCGTGGAACACAGCCCTAATTTTCGAAACTGGACACGGCAAATATGTGATTCCTTTTGACACATCTTTAAAAAATTTCGAAATAACCATCCTACAGCACAATATCTACCAGGGCACCTCCAATTCATGGCACAAAGCAACTGCTGTCAACAAATTCACTCATGGCCGAATGAATCTGCGGGGATACCGTCTCGCCTACAAGCGTCAAAAGATCTAAGCGTACAATAACGTCTGAAACTTCCATTACACATTGCCGTTTGGGGCTTTCAGTCGTTCTTTGACAAGCATTGCAGTGTGCTGTCCCCCCGATGACACAGATATCACCTCGTGCTTACTTGGATCGAGGTTTTTGCTCTTGACCTGTGTTGCTACAAGGACATCATCTTCGTCCCCAATACCTAACTGCAGATTACTGCCAAGGCCCCATGAATAGAGGTCGCCGCCAGATGACACAGCAAAACTGCAAGCTTCTCCGCATGCAATCTGTTTGATCTGTAGGTTCACTAGACCATGAACCTTGGTTGGCTCTAAGGTCTCCTTGGCATCGTCACCAAGACCTAAACGGCCATACTCAGCTCGGCCCACACTGTAGACAACACCCTTGCCATCCAGAACTAGAGAGTGGTGCTGACCGCCAGCAAAACTTATGGCACTGCCTTGCTCCTTTCGGATATCCGAGAACGAGTCAACCATTGTAGGTGCAAAATGGTTAAAGTTGTCGCCAGTACCAAGCTGTCCCCAGTTATTAAGCCCCCAGGCATAAACCTCGTTTTCCTCCTCAGCTACAGCAAAGGTATGAAAGCTACCAGTGAAGATGTCTGTAAACCTTTGCTTTTTCTTGAAGCGAACAATTTGTGGTGCAAGCAACATGCTGATGCCTCTACGACCCCCACGATGAGAAAAACATTCCTTGACTCTCCCTAACTGGCCTTGCTCCCCACTTCCAAAAGTGAAGATTGATCCTCCTTCCGTTAAAATGACAACATGGTCATTCCCTGATGTTATTTTGACAGCTCTGTCATCACTTTCTTTGGTAGGGTAAACCTTGATAGGCTCTTTGCTTTGACCATTGGGAGTGAGACCAATTGGACCATTGGAATCCTAATCAAATGATAGGAAAAAGGAGTAAATGATGTGGTCGAAAATATTTACAGTACTGGGCATCTGCAAGTTTACTTAAGTGGAAAATCAAGTGAGAATGTAATCTTCCATATGCTAGTTCAAACTCACTACCAGTAGAATCTACTTAAAAGGGCATTCCACCATAACACCTAATTCAAAATGTGTTACTTTCCCTCGACGAATTGCAAAAATTCCTGGCTATGTGAAATGCTTTTGATTTGATTAACAAAAACTTCTTCAATGTTTTCTTGTGCTTTGGCAATAATTGATATCTAAAGTCACACTTGATTACAGCACAGCTCCCCTATAAAAGCTTAAAAAACTATGAACAACAGTTTTCACCAGCTTTATTTTGATATATTTACATAGCGAAATTTGTTAAAGCCACATTTTCTCCTTATAATGGAAATCCATATAGCATACCCTCCTATTTTGGTATCCTATTTCCACGAAAGCTTTTTCATTTTTAAGTCAACAAATTTCAAAATATTTAGAAAATCAGACATTTTGTGAATTGCTGACAAATCTGTGATGAAATTCTGATAATTATGTGAAAAATTGTAAAGAAAAATGTACCCTAAAAGTGCCCCAAGCCAAAACAGTCCCATCCTCTAATAAAACAGCTGTATGGCTGTCACCAGCAGATGTCTGGACAATTTTTGATGATGATGGCAGTTTGATGTCAGCAGGCTGGTATTCATCTCCATTTTCTCCTGATGTGGTCCTGCCAAGAGCCCCTTCGTCATTGCAACCCCATGTAAACAACTGGAAAAAATTATAAAATGACTTCAACTGAAGCATTGAAAAACTTACTAATTTTTAATAAAAATGTCAACTCACTGGTAAAAAACAAAAAGGTACCAAATTGGTATTGATACACTGTGGAAAACCAATTGTTGTGCCTATTGTAGAAAAAGTTGCTAAAAGCAAAGCTAGCATATCATAACTTTCAATCTATACTTGTTAGGAACACAATTTTGAATTAACTGGTAAGGAAGGAAGCTTAAGATAAAAAAGCCTTTAAAAGCTGATAAAATTGAATAACAAAAAGCCAAAATATCAAGGGTACAGAAATTTTTTAGCTTTCAAGATGATCTGTAATCTTATTGTTTCAATTGTGCGAAAACACATTTGGATAATAACCATAACATGTTAGCATGAATTATTTTGCACAAACCAACAGACAGATGAGCAACATTTCACCTTCTTATATTTCTCCATTCTTTTTCATACTACAGGGAGGAAATTTATGTTACATTGAAAAGAAGACATTTAATTGGTCAGGGACAAGATGATGTGAGAAATTTTGAACAGTACATTAATTTTGGGTCTTTACTACAAAATAAAACATAAGACACAGCTTTAGCCAACCTCTGAATTACTGGAAAGAGCAACAGTGTGCATTCCTCCACATGCAATCTGTACAATATCTTTCCCTTCTAAATCTGTCACTATGGCAGGTCTCTTTTTTTCCATGACATCTTCACCCAACCCCAGCTGACCAACATCACCCTGACCCATAGTCAGGACCAAACCATTTTTCTGACTTTCATAGGAAGGATGCGAAACTATTTTGGGGAAGAAAAATGACCTGCTGTCAGAAATTCATTTGTAGATATCAGTAACTAAGATTACATAAATCTCTTTTAAAAAGTACCAAAAAGCTGGATTAGTATGCACTAATCAAAACTTGGGGTGTTAATAAAATTCTTGTTCTCTAAAGGGTGGGCATTCAAAAAATGGATGTGCTTAGAGGAAAAGAAATTAATAAACTGCTGCTTTTTTAAAAACTGTTATTGTCAATTTCTTGCAAATGCATAAAAGTGAAGCCTTTTGCATATCATTAGCCTCCAATTTGCTGTGTCATCTATGTTCTAATTTACACAAAAAAAGACATGCAGTTTTTAATTCCTTGTGTTGAAATAAATGGGCAGAATTCCGTATTCTCTTTTGTATTCCTGCTGCAGGTTTATTGATTAAACCTCCTAATTTAAGGCGTGATTATTCGAGAGCTGCAATTTTTAGAAAGGCTTGATTATCAGTGAGGCAGGATTATCAGTGAGGCAGGATTATCAGTGAGGCAGGATTATCAGTGAGGCAGGATTATCAGTGAGGCAGGATTATCAGTGAGGCAGGATTATCAGTGAGGCAGGATTATCAGTGAGGCAGGATTAACTTTTTTTGTGATTCTAGAAAGCGGGCTTAAGTTTTCAGCAAAAGAATAAGCAAAGGTAGTAGTCTACATTTCAAAGTTAGAAAGATTTCAATTTCAAAATTAGTATAGCTGTATTTTTAAAAATCTAAAATATCAACTGAAAATCACAACTGAACAAAAAAAGAAACCCAAAAATGAATGTATTATCATGATCTAGTTTCTTGTTCTAGTGTCATGTTTTAATTTTTCCATGACAATTTCATTGTCAAAACATCTTCCTCTTGCTCAATTGCTTAACCACATTGATGCAATCAAATCCACAGGCAAAACTATGAGTGACGTGGAATTAATTTTTAATAGTATAGAACAAATATGGGATTATAAGAGAGGCAGGAAAAGTAGAGAGGCCAGAATACAAGAGAGAATACAGTATACTACCAAGCTGCTCAAAAGGATCTTATTTTGGCTATGAATACTAATATAGGGAAGAACTGGTACACTGTTTTTGATTTAGTTGAATCAACTTAACAAAAAATGAAAATCTACTTACCCCTTCTGGCTTTTTTGACAATTTCTGGTTCATCTTTATTGCTTTTTGGGACAGTTTTTAATTTCCTCTTTCCAGCTGGCATAGTTAGAATTTGTCAAGGCTGTCAGTAAAATTCAAATTATCAGTAATGCAGAGACTATGTAAATCTCATTTATCATCAAATTTTTAAGACAATGAAAACTGTCTAACAAAACTTTTAAACATGGTTTTTTAAATAGCAGGCAAATTTGTTAGATTAAAGTTAACTGAAAAGAGACAAAAAAGCCTCTAATTTGAAGATTAAAAGTTCATGCTATATTGGTTTGCATATCAAACAAACTGAACATTTTACTGAGCACGCTCAACATGCCTGCTTTCAGTTCGTTTGACCACTTCCTGAGCTTTTCTTAGTCGTTCTCTGAGATGTTTCACGATGATAAAAAATGTTGAGAGTGTCATTTAAAATTTCTTTTGCTCTGGGATTTGTTGAGTGAAGCCCAGTTTCTTTGACCACCCAAATGAACTTTCCTCAACTTGTGCACACCTAACTTGCGATTTGAATTCAAGTTTTGCATCAAGAATACCTTGAGCGTTTTTGTTGATACTGTGCTTGCTGAAACTGTTTAACTGTGTCATGAAAGCTTGCCATTTTGGCATCGTAAAGAAGGCCTTTTGATTTGCAATAGTTTTGCAGGAAATTTTCATTTCACATTGCGGAGGCACTCACATCAAATATTCTTTGTTCATAGAATTGTGTTCATAGGATTGTTGGGTGCAATGTTCAGTTTGTTTGACCACCTTGTACTGAAGCAGCGCTTGAGCAGAGCTGAGCAAGATTTGCAAATGTTGAGTTTTGCTTAGTGTGATGTTCAGTTTGTTTGAACGGGGCTGATTACGTTATAAACAAAATGATTGCTGTTCCAATAACTATGAGAAAAATCAAGGACCAGTCTTGTAAGATGAGGCAGGCAAATCATCGCACATGCAAAACAAAGAATTTGCCATAAAACTTTAAAAATTGCTTATGGTTAGAATATTTCTAAAGCAGCAGAAAATCAAAGTCGCCAAATTCAAAGGCAGTTCTGCTATTTTCAAGGTATTGTTAAAGTTTTCCTATAGAGGATTAATAAACAGCGTCACAAAGTAGTTACAACAAGATTGCTAACAGTTATTAAACCAAGAGGGTGCCAAGGGGGAGTAATCTGCAATCAACATCAAGGTGCTTTATTCAAAACTCAGGGATTTAAGGCTTCGTCCAAGAGTCTTCACTATTTGCCTGATTATTCTGTTCTTTGGTGATCATGGAGAAAGGAAACAAAGTGAAGTTGGCAACATTTAGTGGTTGGGGAAAGAATGTAATTATTGGAAGACTGTGAATGTCATACAGTGTTTTATTTCAACCTTGGCTGGGTGGGCTATTCAGCCCTTGCAGAACTTTCGTCCATTCTTTATATTTGAGTATTTACAATTGCAAAAATACATTATGTTGCCAATTTTTTTAACACTATTCCCCTTAAGAAGGCATTTGGCGTGTATTACTACCTTTAAATTTTGTATTACCACTCCTTTAAACAAGACAAAAGAGGGACATAACTTTTTTGGAATAAAGAAAAGTATTGTTAGTTTTTGTTAGGTAAAACATCTTTCTTTTTATTGACTTACACCCTGATATTTAGTAGCATACTTACTACTAAATATAGCCCGCTTCTCTGAGAAAGGCCTGCTGCATGACATTTTCTCAACAATGCATGGTAATTTCTACAATCAATTGAAATTACTTTCAACCCAGATAGCTTATTTTACACCACATGTAGCCTATTTCAATATAACAAAGAGTGGAGGACAAACAATTAGTTCTTTTTTAGTATTCCAGTTTATTTTAAGGACAAATGTTTAAACAAATCAAGCAACTTTAAATATTACTTTCAGTGGCTGGAAACTTTGCGAAGCATTGCAGGAAATTTGATTTTTTTATCTTGCTGTCAGGAAGTTGTAAATCTTTTTCGTGAAAAGCTCTATCTAAAACTCTAAAAAGAAGTAACTGAAAATTCTAATATCATTGCAGGCTGGTGGAAGGTAAATATTTTACTTCCCAACCATGCAAAGACAGGCCTGGCCATAACACTTCTAGCAAGAGAGCAGTAAACATAGAATAGAAACAAAATGAAAATTGATTTCAAGGACTGCAATTTATTTCTTAGAGCAATTTAGGAGAGCAATCTGTAGCTCCCCTCTAAAATCTGAGAGAGCCTGGAGACGAGCAAGAGCTATGGATCCCCTCAAACTGCAAGACCTGCATAGAAGTACTTGAAAGCTTGGCACTTTAATCCAGGGTGGAATCCAAGTAAACCCTTTTATCTTTTATCTTTTTCAAAATTAGAATTAATCTTTAACAGCAGTTCAACAAGCTTCATAATATGATAAGCAATTTGAATTTCATCACACAAAATGCTTTATTTTGTTTAGTTTAAAGCTAAATTGGTTTTGTCTTTTACTTCCAATATCCATTGGAGAAAATTTACCTAGCCTATTAAATATAAAATAAATTGAGAGGGGTTAAAACTAATGTGCTTCCTGACTGTTCTCAAATAGATAGTATGTAAGAACAAAATTTAACAAGACTTGCCTACATTCATATGGCAAGAATGATATTCTGCTTGCTGGAGGTCGAGTTAGTCCTATTCCTCAAGATCTATCACTTATCTCTAGTATAGGACGTTGAGCCTAAAATGTATACTTCTAGAATAGGATTTCTTCCTCCTCACTATACCAATGACTGACTGGTTTCATCTGGCTTTCAATATTTGCTTTGCAAGGTGGTTGTTTTACAATTAAACTTATTTTGCATTCCTATATTATAAATAAAAAGTAAAGCTGTTTTATGGTGAGGAGGAGCTAGAGGAAGGTATAAAGTTCGAAGCAGCAAGGCGCCTTTTTACTAGCTTGGAAGAACGGTCTGGGGTGTGCTGAGTTGATTGTGAGATTCTGGACAACTTCAGGCTTTAGCTCTCGTTGATCTTTGCTCGACCTTCAAAGTTGCTTATAAAAATGACTAAAGAACGAAAATCGTATGAAAATAACGCATAAACATCAAGAATAAGCTAAAACTCACGTTGAAAAAGATCTTGTCTGACACTTGAATGTCTTGCAAAGGCCCCACACTTCACCTCGTGAATATTTTAGAACGCATGCGCCAGTCCAATACCGGGAATATTCGAATTCTCAAAGGATCTCAATTTGATTGGCTGGCTGACACATGGTTGCTTTCGAGGACCGGATCAGACCGGTCAAAACCTGAAAGTCACCCCAAGCCAAGGGACAGCGGAGCATCTTACCTATTTTTGCTTAAGGGGGAGGGGGTAGAATATGGTCACTATATTTATGGGAGGGCCTTACAGATTTAGGGGGCTTGAGGGGGATAAACCGTTTTTGGAGGGGGGGCTAAACATGCTAAAACCAAGAACAAGAATGATTATTTTTTACTTGACTGGTTTCTAATTATATTTCTGAGACTAAATGATGGACACTCAGGTACTCAGGGTACCAAGGCAATTTTTGCATGATTTTAAATACAGTTTGGAAATTACTGGGAGGGTTAAAGCCCCCTCAGCCTCCCCTTTTTCCAATGTCCCATTCTTGAAGCTAGAGCGTCCAATCTTTAGCTTTAAATGTAAATTTTGGGGAACCTTGGGGGCTAATTGGCAGTTCTATGATTGAATGCCATCCTTAATGTATCTCTAACGTAAATACTCGACGAATTTGTTGATTTGGAGCATTTAAGATGGGGACTTATTTGTGAGGGGATTATGAAAATAGCCTGAAAGTTGCCAGTTTTCAAACCTTTTATTTTGCGGCCTTCCTCTTCCCAGAATGCAAGGCTAAATTGTGTCTCGACTTCGCTGATACGTTCAGGGAGAATTTCATGTTCTCTCAAAATCAAATATTTATTTGACGAAGAAAGCAAATATCAAAGTCTGCCTGTTTATACAAAAACATGTCCCCATGTTTTTTTAGCAAAGTATGATTTCCAGAGCTTTTATCTTTACCAGTAGTGACATAAAAGAATAAAATAAAGACAACCTTCAACATAACTAACTAACATACTCTATGGAATCTTTAATCACGTGATATTCTTGTCAATCAAAGATTCAGGTATTATTACATGCATAATCAAAATAATTAAAGCAATGTGCCTTGAAAAATCTAAAACTATTAGTTGACTTAAAGCCCAGCTCACTCTTCAAAAAAGCGTGGCATCTTGCAATTTGAGGATACAAACTTGAGTGTGCAAAATTTATGAATGGGATTTATAATAACAAACAGCCAGAGTTTTTGATAATTTCTTCCAGAAAACCACATCCATACATTGATATGGAACTCGGCAAGCCAGTGATAAACTGTTCTCTTTTCCCTTAGCCAGAACAAACACCAAGAAAATGCTATTACATTTGGTATCAAATGGTATCAAAATTTGGAGTGAAATACCCATTTACGTTCGTTCGAAACCCAGTAAAAAGTTATTTAGCAAGCATTACAAAGCATTTTTGCTAAAAACTATTCTGATGTGAAATGATATCTGTAGATTTCCTTCCCTTGCCCTTGCCTCAGCAAATTCAAATTATCAACATTCAGTGTCCCTCTTTTCTTGTCCTTTCTTTTTTCTACCTACTGCTAACTTCTGAAATGATACAAAAATGTTCTCGCATTTAGTTTAATAAAGTTGCTTAACTCAATTTATATCGTAATTTTTTTTCATTAGCGAATCCTTATATTGTATTAAGTAATTTAAATACACAGGGAACTTGGCCCGATAACCATGCTGTTGGTTCTTCTCACTGTCTTAAGCAAATTATTGATTATATTTACCGTATATTTTGTTTGTAAATCTAGAACTGTAGTTTCATATTAGTCGTTGGAACTTTTAAATTGAGAAAATGTTGTTGAATCATAATTTTGAATTTGAGTTTGCATAATAAAAAAGGTTAAGTCGGTGTTTGTTGAGAACTTGTTTTGAAGCGTAAGCCTTTGTGGCATGAGCAATGGATTCATTTTGCTAAGAAGTTTGTCAAGTTTACTAAATTTATCTACTAATTTTTCCAATGTGTATCTTTAGACTTGAAGTTAAAAGGATGCTCAAAGAAGACAATGGGGGTAAACAAGCTCAAAAACCAGACATCTCGAAGAACGTCACAGTGGCGAAACTGTGCATAATTCATATACTTGAAAATTTAATATCTCTCCGGCTAGACCTGACACTAATTGACGCAATAACTGGTGCTCTAATTGCTAGAGGGGACTTTGAATTCCAATAGAGTACGTAGATACATTCCAAAAACATAGTTATCTAGAGTTGATATAAAAAATTAAACGCATTAATACAGTGCGTTGCCATCATTTTATCTGTTTATATTTGTAATTAGACATTTCGGTCATAGAGTTTCTAATTTAGTTTCATCTTTATCACACACCTGTCCACTCCAGTACTTTAACTCGATGAGAGCTGATCTACTGAAAATTTTCACCAAAATGTTTGCTCCTACTCCTAATGCCATGATATTAGGGATTTTTATATGGCATGTTGTCTACCAAGTAGAAACAGGTCGTTTTTATTACAAATCACTTGAAAATAAAGAAGAGGGTAAGAATGGCGAAGGCTTCTTTCTGAAGAAAGAGTTCTTTGAATGCAACAGAGTTCGAAATTGCACTCAAGTCGTAAAGATGAAGAACAGCACAGTTTTTGCACTAGTTCATGGCAAAAATGAATTGAAAAAGGAATCAGAATATGACGTCATTTACGAGAAGATGTCACGAGAGGTACTACAACAAGGTTAGTCCCAAACATCATTCAAGAGTGTGTCGAAGTTAAATTACTCGACGTATGCCTCACTAAGCCAGAACGTAAGAATCAAATTATTGAATAAGCGTTTCTCCACAGTGTTTGAATAAGCGTTTCTGGACAAAATTCCTGGAGATCCTGGAGGAATTTCTCTGGATGATGGCTACTTGGAAGATGCCATTTCGACCTGATTAGGGAAAAAATTCCTTGATTTTTATGATGTGAGTGATATGAGGTGTGATCTCTACTCGATTGGCATAATGCAGTGGTGATGAAACTTGATTCGTGTTAGAAATTGCGTACTGTGTTGGTTCACTTCTCCATTTCTATCATAAACGTTATTTGCAATCCAGCATGTCTATATTTTTCATTTTGTCTGATCTTGCATCCTAGATTGCATTGACAATATAACCAATCCCACTCCAAGTGATGGAAAGTCGTTTTCTTTAGAAAAGCAGCACGTGAAATGCCGTCCATTTGGACTACTGAAACGCTTCCAGCTTCAACAAAATGCAACTGGCATTTTGTATGAGCACGCTTGCTGTAAATTTCGAAATATTGCGTGCAATATGGTGAGTAGAGTGACACAATGGGACTACGATGGTGAAGGCCATTCCATGTTCCTAGACAGACACGCTGTTGACTGCGGTGAGTCAAGCTTGCTACATAGCTTCGTTCTGGAGAGAGATGCCACTTTAAAGAAAATAAGGTACTTGTATTCATGCTGTGATGTAGTGAATCCAGTGTGGGAAATAGAAGTGAAGTGCCAAGAAAAGGGTAATGTATTCATGAGTGAGGGGAATGGTAGTGTTTTTATCCTTGCCTTGCAGAACGTGTCCTGTGATCGTGGGTCTGCACTTTCAAAATTTGTTTATAGCCGAGATATCAAGGAGTATTTCAGATATGAATACAAATGCTGCAAAATCAATTCATAAGCATGCCAGTAGTCTTTACTGTGAACTGATTGTAGAGCACCCTTGTGTAACAAGCCCGGCAAGGATTATTTCATTTTGGATAACTGGTCAATACGGCAGAGGACAGAAAAATTTGTCTTGCAATCATGTATTGCTAAACTGGCAAGGGATTGATGTTCCATTAAAAAAAATTTATGCACAAGTCAAATTCAGCTTGATTGTAGCATCGTGTAGAGTCTTATTAGAAACTTTTTATCTGTTGCCAACTTTGTCGGCTTCACTTCACAGTTTAGTTTCGTATTGTCTTCACATATTCTATATAGATGATTAATGATGAATATCAGTATGCAATATCAATATTCAACCCAGAGTTGCCTGTTTTGGTGTAATAAAGGGAAAGAAAGAACCAATCGTTATTCTTGTTGTCATGCAATGTAATTTGGCAAAGTGACCTGGTACAGTGCTAGCAAAGCCTAAGGTATGTGGGTGGCATACCCACCAGACCATTCCTTTATGTCTTTCATGTTGTAGCAGATGCAAATATTTTTCACTTCAAAGGTCCTTAAGGTAGAAGCCATTCAGCGCAATGCATATTATAACCAAGGTAGAAGCCATTCAGCGCAATGCATATCATAACCAAGGTAGAAGCCATTCAGCGCAATGCAAATTATAACCAAGGTAGAAGCCATTGCAATGCATATTATAACCAAGGTAGAAGCCATTCAGCGCAATGCATATTATAACCAAGGTAGAAGCCATTCAGCGCAATGCATATTATAACCAAGGTAGAAGACATTCAGCGCAATGCATATTATATGCAATCATCATAACCAAGGTAGAAGCCATTGCAGCGCATATGCATATGTTTAAGCCAAGGTAGAAGCCATCAGCGCAATGCAAATTATAACCAAGGAGAAGCATTCAGCGCAATGCAAATTATAACAAGGTAGAAGCATTCAGCGCAATGCAAATTATAACCAAGGTAGAAGCATTCAGCGCAATGCAAATTATAACCAAGGTAGAAGCCATTCAGCGCAATGCATATCATAACTTAAGGTAGAAGCCATTCAGCGCAATGCATATCATAACCAAGGTAGAAGCCATTCAGCGCAATGCAAAATTATAAACCAAGGTAGAAGCCATTCAGCGCAATGCAAATTATAACAAGGTAGAAGCATTCAGCGCAATGCAAATTATAAAAAGGTAGAAGCCATTCAGCGCAATGCATATCATAACCAAGGTAGAAGCCATTCAGCGCATGCATATTTAAACCAAGGTAGACACCATTCAGCGCAATGCATATTATTAACCAGGTAGAAAGCCATTCAGCGCAATGCAAATTATAACCAAGGTAGAAGCCATTCAGCGCAATGCATATTATAACCAGGGTAGAACCATTCAGCGCATGCATATTATAACAAGGTAGAAGCCTATTCAGCGCAATGCATATTATAACCAAGGTAGAAGCCATTCAGCGCAATGCATATTTAACCAAGCGTATAGAAGCCATTCAGCGCAATGCAAATTATAACCAAGGTAGAAGCCATTCAGCGCAATGCATATTATAACCAAGGTAGACACCATTCAGCGCAATGCATATTATAACCAAGTAGAAGCCATTCAGCGGCAATGCATATCATAAACGCGCAATGCAAATTATAACCAAGGTAGAAGCCATTCAGCGCAATGCATATCATAACCAAGGTAGAAGCCATTCAGCGCAATGCATATCATAACCAAGGTAGAAGCCATTCAGCGCAATGCAAATTATAACCAAGGTAGAAGCCATTCAGCGCAATGCAAATTATAACCAAGGTAGAAGCCATTCAGCGCAATGCATATCATAACCAAGGTAGAAGCCATTCAGCGCAATGCATATCATAACCAAGGTAGAAGCCATTCAGCGCAATGCAAATTATAACCAAGGTAGAAGCCATTCAGCGCAATGCAAATTATAACCAAGGTAGAAGCCATTCAGCGCAATGCAAATTATAACCAAGGTAGAAGCCATTCAGCGCAATGCAAATTATAACCAAGGTAGAAGCCATTCAGCGCAATGCATATTATAACCAAATGCATCTTTTTACGATTTAGTTTTGATCTAAAATGCATCGGAAATAGATTTTCGATAGTTTAGAAGCCAGATTGCATGACTATAGGGGAGGATAAGAGATGAAAGAAAGCTTCAGTCCAGCACGCTTAGACAACTTTTCTTCGATTGTCCTGAACGAAAACCGGTTCCTTTGTTTCCACGCCATTCCAAATTGACATTTACCTTTTCTAAATTTATTCCTCTAAATATGTTTTGACAACCCTTCTGCTTTTCTGCTTATTGTATCATGTGCAAAGAACATTCACCGCCATTTCTGTGATGATATCTGATTACATATCCGAAAATTGGAATACATTTACAAGTCAAAAGGTTCGTTAACGAACTGGAGCTAAGAGGAAAATTCTTGGGATTTCGTCACATAATGAATCCTCTTCATATTTAAATCATAGTTTACAGTGTTTGATAGCAATTTACTTTTAAAGAGTTTAGTTAGATGAATATAATGTGTATGTAAATGTGTTTTGGAATTAAATTATAGAAAATTCGACGTGCCCAAACAGAACTGGATTTGTTTGACCAAGGTTGACAGAATATTTCTATCGCAGATGAGAAAAATAAATACATAGTCATATTATGGAGAGATCATGGCAGTTCAAATTGTACTAAAATTCGGAAACGTTTTGCAACTAAACAATTTTTATCTGATACTCCTCAGAGTATGAAACGCCGAATATTGCAAAATAACCCGAAATTTTTGTTCAAGTGCGGATCGAAATTGCACCTAAAGGGCCAAAGCTTACATTCCATTAGAAAAAGAAAAAGGAGAAAAAGTCTCCAGTCTTCGGAGCACTATGACGTCATTTCTTTCTTTTTAAAAGTTTACATTCCCAGATTTTAACCATTCCGAGAAAGCCTGTAGTTAATCTTTATTTAAAACAAGAAGAGAACTACCATCTTTTATTTATTCGGAAAGTCGCAACGCCCCGGCATAATGTCATTTGACCATAAGCTCGACATTTGGTCGAGAATCTACAGTCCGACAGTCACTGAACGCATACAATATACTCTTTATTAAAACATGAACATTGGCTTTCAAAGTAGCCTGCGTGCAGACTTTACTTTCCGTTGCGAAGGAGTCTGCACGCAGGCTACTTTCAAAGCAACCAAGCGAAGAAGGTGACTTACATTATAGTCTTAAGGATTGCAAGGCAGGAAAAGTCCATTTCCAGTCATGCAGCGTGAAACTCGAATTTGTTTTGCTTTCCAAAGAACTCAATAAACAAAAAAATTTAATGCTTGATGAAGATTGAGTCGATATTCTTACATAAAAAAGTTTTTCTTCGATGAAAGTTTTCGATAAAACGCAGGGTCATATCGTTTCTTGGGGGATGTTTTCAGTAATACTTGAAAAAGAAAAAAATTAACGAATGACCTTACGAAGTAACCGTTATAGGAAAGACGATTTCAGACTGTATAAAACAAAAAATATTAAATTCAGAAAAACTTAATTGAATGGGTGAAAATTGCCCAGTGATCACCCTGGTGTAAAATTCGTTAAAAAGCATCTTCTGAAGTATATTCATAGAATAATGATCCTTGCCTGAGCTAAACCCACCCGTTTCTACAAATTCATGCACAAAATTCTCACTGTTTCTAAAAAAAGCAGATCTGAACACGAACTACAGGTATCATCATTGTTGCTTTCGTTCCTTCCTTTGCGTCCCAAAAGTCCGGGTGCTCTGGCTCACGTTCTGGTTGCAATTTGTCAATATTCAACTCTTCGTAATTAATACACAGATTTTCAATATCTGTGGAGTGAAAAGGTTTTAGAAAAAAGCTTAGACAAATCTGATATATATTTTCATTCGAATAGGCAACTTACAAACCTCTGTTTTAAAACCAGATGAATTTTTTACAACAAAACGAAAAACACAGTAAAGAGAAGACTGCGGCTATTTACAATTGAGAAAGGACAAAACGATACATAAAGTTGAATAAATTTTTGAGAACTATCTTCAATGGTCATCTACAATTTTTGCGGGTGATATTATGGTGTACATTTTGAGGGTGATATTATGGTGTACATTTTAAGGGTGGTATTATGGTGTACATTTTAAGGGTGGTATTATGGTGTACATTTTAAGGGTGGTATTATGGTATATTTTTTGAGGTTGATATTATGTTGTTCTATTTGTGGTTGATATTGGGGTATCCTATTTTAGGTTGGTATTATGGTGTACATTTTGAGGGTGATATTATGGTGTACATTTTAAGGGTGGTATTATGGTGTACATTTTAAGGGTGGTATTATGGTATATTTTTTGAGGTTGATATTATGTTGTTCTATTTGTGGTTGATATTGGGGTATCCTATTTTAGGTTGGTATTATGGTGTACATTTTGAGGGTGATATTATGGTATCCTTTTCAGGGTGATATTATGGTATATTTTTTGAGGTTGATATAATGGTGTTCTATTTGAGGGTGATATTATGGTGTCCTGTTTGAGGTTGATATTATGCTAGCTTAAACGTTTAAGAGAAACAAAGGAAGAGGTGATATTATGTTACCCTATTTTGCCTTTTCCCATAGATGTGACAGGACCTTGCTAAAAGTGGCTGTTCCAAAAGGAATAATTGGCTCGTCTTGAATCGAGCTGTGTTTACCGAAATATAGCCCAAGGCTGTTATCAGAAATATTATTACGAGGTTCTATCTGGAAGTCGCAATGATAAATGAAGCATAAAACCAACACTTTTTACTGAGCCTGAAATTAAAACAAAGTTACTTTAGTCGCCTCCTTCTTCTTCATCTTCATCTTGTCGAACGACAGGAACTCCTGAGAATGAAGAAAACATACGATCTTTCCACCTCTTTGTAATTTTCAATATATAAAGCAAAGTCAATAAAATTTTATGCGACCTGACGTCCCAGAATACCATAGTCAGACAAAAATTGGGTTCCGCAAATTGGTATCTGCTAATAGCATCGCTTTCGATCTGTTTGTGTCGTCAAAAGTTTGTTTTTTCATATTGGAGCAAAGGCATCTTTTCAAGGAATTTGAAACACAGCAGATTATGAGATTTGTTACAGACAAGGGATGTCAAAATTAGGGTTACAAGAAATTGGGCTAATTGTTCTTGAAGGGGTCATGCACTTCCAATGTCATACAATATAAAAAGGACACAAATTGGAGCAGATCCAACATGCAATGTCTGTTATCTGATTCTAAATTTGTAACTTCGATTGTTATAGAATAAAAAAATCAGGGCTTAAAATTACATAAATATGGAAAACAAAAAATCAACCTCAAAATTGAAGATTAATCATAGCTGTGAGATAAGTTTTATTCAAAGTCGAATTCTTGGCACCACAAAGATCAAATTCTTGGAATTAATTCAGGACAGATGTCAGACAATTTCTTAAGGGTTAGCAAGATTGCCAAGTGCCTTTAGGGGAACTTATTTGACTCACCTCAAACAAATATTACTGAAAATACATTTATATCGAAACTTAAATCATTCAGTTTGGCCCAAACAGAGTGTTTGAATAAAAAAAGCTAATCTTTTACATGGGATTATAGATAATGAAAAAAACTTCTCCTATGCAAAAAAAATTAAAATAGATTAGAGAACACGAATTGTTAACGATAATATAGAAGATGTCTATCAGTTCCTGGGGATGTTGGATCTTCTATCCAGGCAAACTAACACAAAATATCTTTTGAAACCCAAATAGTTCTTTAACTGGTGATTTCAAAACTGTTTATGGAAATGGGTAAATGAGTCTTGAAGTGAAAAAATATTCACTCACTGCTGGGAAAACACAGACCACATGGTTGCTTATACAAAAATCAAACGACGCATATACGCAAGCGTGATTTGCAACCGTTCAGTTAAAGTCTCTACACCTGGACAGGAATTGGGTGTTGTCTTGTTGACAAAATAGAGTTATGTGTTACTAGCCAGTGTTTAAAAAATCAAAATATTCCTTCTATTTCACCTATTAGTTGTGCTTCCTTTAAAAATAGTAAGGTTGAAAGAAGGCATTTCCATACGATGATAGCTTATGATACGACGTACAGCATGTATTCTTTGTAAATCAGAAATTAGATCATAATATGAAATCCAAATGCTTAATATTAATAGCGCAAATCCTTTGTGCGTGGAGCAATAAAAATTGCTGAACGTACTGGCAGCAACCACGTAGCTGTAGATGTCGGCTGGGGGGGGGGGCAAATTCGAGCAAGAACCATACTTGAGGGGGGCAAGCTTTAAAACAAGAAAACAGATATATATAACAAACAGATATATTTGGACAAAATTAAGGTCATGGAATTATAAATATGCCAAATTTTCAAAATATCATTTGGAAAAAGATATCCCCCAGTCCCCCCGTTCCCCCCCTGCAGCTGCGTGGCAGACTGGCAGAGGAAAACAGGATGCAGTTTATATGCACAAAAGAAAATTTTGAGCAGACGTTTTGAAATGAAATCTTCTGCACGTACTGACAGAGGCAAAGAGCTTGCAATTTATATGCACAAAAGAAAATATGGGCAGACATATCGAAATACTAACTATTCAATGTACATACCATCTAGTTTCTTTAGCTTTGGTAGCCTCTTAGTGGCTTGTTCCCGCCAGTCACCCTCGGCAGTGTGCTTTTCTTCAAGTGCGTTACCTGAGGATGAGCAAAAATTTGATAGGGCGAGTTTAGCTGGCGTAGTATCAAATATTTGCAATCGTTTTCTCTAAGATTAATAAACATCATCACGCCATTAAGAACCTTTCAAATTAATAATTCACCGTTAAGATATCAGATATAGCAATGAGGTTAGCAAAGGAGTTCTTATTCAACTATTATAACGGCATTCATTCATTTTGGCAAATTTGTGCTAGAAAAAACTTACCAACAAAGACAAGATCTTCGAGGACTGGCAAATCTGCCTGTAAGACAAAAATATTGATACAAAATAATTAGCAGCAATTGGCATATTGGGAAATATAAATTGATCGTGGAAGTCATCAAGTCACTGGCATGGTTTTTCTAATGCTTTTCGAAAGTTGACAAGCCATTTGACAAATGGCATCTAAAAGTCATTTGACAAATGACAAACGATATCGAAAAGGTAAAAGGCTAAATTTGTGGTCACCAATTATCCATTCTATATTCAGACAACAATAGGAACGATAGTGAAAGTCAGTCAAGAACTGGGCAGTAATGAAATACAATATCAGTGACATACCAGTTTTCCGAATTCGTCCATTGTTTTTACAAGATTGTTGGACATGTACAAAACCTATCAGAAATAGAATTTTTTGTGAAAAGAAGTTAATCAAAGGGATAAACACGAAGGTGATGAGTAACAGGGACGTAAATTGGCAGATATTTTTTTTTTGGGGGGGGGGGGGGGTTGGTGAAGGGCTCAAAATTTCCCAAAGGTCAATTCTATTTTTGTATGAGGGCCTAAACTTTAATAGTTTTTTACCAACAAAACCTTATAAATTGTCTCGTGAAAAATTATTCAGCTGTATGATAAAGTTTTTAGATTTTGTAAATTTGGAAGATCGAGCATAAAGACGGTTAGTTTAATTAGTGCATCAAAACATACGTAGTCCAAAAATCAGGTGTTAATTTTTCTCCTTCTACGACTTGCCCATTGCTCCACTATCTTATCTAAATTTACTTTGTCGAAAATGTCTTTCTCACAAGTAAGAGTCATGATGTCGTTTAGTCTTTCACAGGGGTGGCGCCAAGAAATTCAAAGTTGGGGAGGGGGAGGCTCGAGTTGATAGAATTATTAGACTAAAGAACCATCTTTTGAAAAACGCACTAAAACGCTTCACGATATTTTATGCTTATTCTTTTATATGGCACTCAATACGCTAGCGGTACGTTTGAAGGGGCTGGCGGGAGGTTGGCGGAGGCCTTATGGATACTGGAAAGAAGTGGCTTCCCTTCGAGCGAAGCGAGCAGAAAATTTCACGACCACGCTTTTTAGATTAGCTTAAAATACATTTCAGAATACTTTTTGCAGGTATTTTCTTGCAATCGTTTAAAACATTTTTTTATTTTTAAGGCATGCTCTTATTACGTTTGATTAATTCAAGTCTTAAAATTAAATTCATTACTTTATGAGGCCCCATAGACCTCGGCGTATTCCTTGGAAATCAAGCAACTAAAGGATTTGTCGGGTTATCCTTTCTTTATATCTTTTCCTTCACTCTTTTGTATTTGCTAAAAAATACATTTTTGTTAAAAAAGTGGAGGGCAAAAAAAAAGCTGAAGCCCCCAGCACTCCACCTGGCGCCGCCTATGTTTCATCGGTCGATCTCGAACGGAAAAAGTTCTTGACAAGTCTCGAACGGAGAAAGGAAATGTACTGCGCTTTTTTAGGCATTATTACTGATAAATATTATTTAAAAAATTATATTTCGTATCCCGTTTTCAAAAGCAATTTGATGGAATGATTATCACACTATCCCCATTACGACGAATGTAGTTGAAAATATTTGCATTTTCATACAAAACTTCGTTTTTTCTGTATTGCGTCGCCTCTCATTCTTTTTAGGGCTGCCTTTTACCAAACAACTTTTTCTTTTGAACTTATACCTTTCTTATGCTTCTCTTTGAGCTACAGTTCACAAGGTCATTTGAGTCAAACTTCAATTTTCACAAATGATTAAAGTTTTCTCCGATTAACCTAGCTTTCTACCAACAGCTTTAAATTTTCCGACTCTCCTCAAATTTTCTGACGTGCTGAAAGATTGGGGGTGTGTGTCACACCTCCACACCTCCCCTCAGTATTTACGTGCCTGATGAGTAAGTTAAATGTATAGCCATGAAAATTTTGATAACACAATTCAGGCATACCCCTTCATCAGTAATAAAGAAGGAGCACGGAGTATCTAAAAATGAAGCCCTAAATGAGAGCTGACGAGAAAATGAAAATGATGTTGAAAAGCTACATTGGTTTAGAAACAGATGTGGCCCTTGCTTTACTTTGACCAGGATTGCCTCACCTACCTGTAAGAAAAAAAGAAGAGAGAAATCTAAATAAATGCAACAATAGAGTTGAAATGGTATACCTTCAACTTTTTCAATACACCAATGCCCTTCAGCTTTTCAATGTTGTTATATGAAATCCACAACTCTTCCAGTGTGTCTGCAACAGCCTCCTGAAATGAATATGACAACAATTTTACAAAATATAGTAAATCAACAAAAATAAAAACCTATGTTTTCCAGTAAAAATATTATTGGGCATTTTTTAAAAATGCCTTTGGGAACAAGGTTCTTGAACAGGGTCAGTGATGCCTAACAATAGTGGAACCTTGTTCAAAAAAGGTTTAGAGAACAATGTCCCACCATGTCCCTCAAAAACATTTTAATTTGTACAGCAGTTAACCAAAGAAAGAGAGCTTGACTGTAGATGATATTTTCTTCAAAAGCATTTTCGTCATTCAGGCAGACCTTGCAAAACATTTTCAAAAATTAATATGCTAGTTTGCAAAAAATTTTTCATGCTTGAATAAATTATATTTGTTAAAAGTGTGACATGTTCAAAAAATAGTGTCAGCCTGAGTTACAGGGGTCCTTGTTTCTGGCTTTCCCAGGATCCCAGTTTCTTCATGTTTGTTTCAGCTAATACGTTCACAGCATTTTGTAATTTTTTTAGTCGAAGGTGGGAAAGAAAAATATGATATAAAGTTTGGGATTTTCCCATATTCCTATTCTTAGACTGTATTTCTGTCTTCTTTTCTTGATAGTTTAACTATTCAAAATTGAGCTTGTTGTTACCATATTTTCAGATGCCATTGCTTTTCTTTTAGACACAATTGTTTGTACCCCCACTTGTTTAGCCCTGTCAGGGATTCAGGTAGATAATTTTGCTTGAGATTTTCATGTTCAGAAAAAAAATGTGATTCAAGTAACAAGCATATCAAAATGATTTGAATAAGTTATTTTTGAATTGAAGTTAACTGTTTGGACTGAAAGATGATTGTGAAATTCACACCAAACAAAACTTCCAACTAACTTACCAAGCCATTAAGATTTTTGATGTTATTTCTGCCAAGTGATAGAATCCTTAAATTTTCTGAAGACAAAATAGGGTTAAATTAGTCATCTGGTAAATTGTGTTAATATACAAAGTTAGTAACATGTGAAAATTACATGATTTTTTTGATGATTGAAACCTAAAGCACAAAAAATTATGAAAATGAATTCATCAATGGACATTTAACTCACAGTTCTCATTCTGTGTCTTATGGTCATACTTTTCAAAATCTAGAGCTCTTGAAAGTGCTACAGGTCCATATCAGATATTGGCAGCTATAACCTGCAGGTCAGCAGATTATTTTAAATGCAGGTAACTCAGCAAAGGCGGTTTTTGTGGCCTTAGGTTCTACTGCTCGCTATGTCACTTTTCTGTGGGTTACAATCCACCCAATATTCCATATGGTTACTTCAAATGTTGGAATTTCCCAATATTGGGAATGATTGCTGCTTGCCTATTGAGAATGTTACCAATGGAGTCCTATACTGAAAACAAACTCTTTTTGTCTACACAGTGGCGGTTTTTTCGTGCTTATGTAGATAGATTTCAAAACTGCTAGGTGGAACGACAATCAGGCTTTACCAATAATCCAAAACATGTCACCATTATAATTTTTGCACAATCTGGGTTTTCCAGTAAATGCTGCCCGATAGCAGAATCGCAAGTTTTAGTTGTAATTTTAGATTTGAAAGACTGAGATATGATGTGTAACCTTTCTTAAACTTGAAAATGGCTTTGAATAAGCTGGAAAACTGTTTGAGACCCAAATATGCATAAACATGTACTTACTGAGACCATTAAGGTTTGCAATTTTTTCTATACAGTTTGTTGACAAAGACAATTTTCTAGAAAAGAACAAAAGGAATCATCATCTATAGCACTAGCAGGCAAAATAATTATAATCTTTATATAGATATATTTTCATATTTAAAACAGGTGAGGATAATTTGCATCTTTTGGAAACATTGATCCTGAATTTTGTAAGCCCAGTATAGAAAAGCTAAAACTTTAACATTTGGGCTAGAAAATACAAGCTAAAAATATAGACGCAAAAAGAATTCAAAATGGCTTTGAAAAAAGCAAACATCTTGAGCCATACTAAAGCTATACAAAATGAGCTTCTAGAAAAAATGTATAGCTCATAGATCAATCTAGACATGTGTGCAGCTGTTGATTAATCTTGAGCACATTCCTAGCAAGGCTAGGTTAACACACTCATGCATGATGGATTACAAAGAAATGCAGATCAATACATTTTCACATTTTTAAAAACAGAGAAATATTTTAATCGCATCCACACCACAAAATTAAATAAGAATTTGACTAACTCGCATGCCGATAGAGTTGAAAGTGATGCATCCATTTTTTCTATTGGAGGCATTTGAGCATACAATCTCACTTCAGTAGCTTCAGAAGCTTTCATCCCATTTTTCTCTTCCTGAAATGAAGCAAAAAACCCAAAGTAGAGAGAAGTTAGAGAGAAGTTAAAAAATTAATCAAAAAATTCCAACAATGGTTTAAAAATTCAGAATTCATCAAAGAATTCAAAACCAACTCACCCATTTAGCAAGAGCATCTTTGATTGTTGTTCCTTTTGACTAAAATAAGAATATAAACATTTAACATTATAAAATTGAAGAAACTAAAGTATGATGACCCACTGGAATGATGCAAAGTATGAAGATGTTTGTTAGCATCCTAGATGAGAGTTGATCTTGTTTTGAGAAGAAGATCAGCTGTAGATACTGCAAAATTAAATTGTCATTACATTTCTATCAAAACGCAACACTGTGGAATGAGAATATATTCGAGATGAATGCATTGTCAAAGCAAAGCATGTTATTGGAGGCAAACTCGGATTGGGGTTGATATCCTCAATAAAGGCTTGATTTGACTGCAAGTTTAAGCACTTCACCTTATTTGCACACCCAAGACTTTGACCATACCGATAAAACAATTTTTTTCTGAGAAAAACTTCAAAAGCTCCTTGCATGCCCCAAGGTCTCTGGAAAAATGACAATGCATCATTTAGGTACTCTTGCCTTTATAAAGTTTAGTGCATGTCTTGTGGAACTTCCTCCCCTTGGAATAATGTTGGTTTAACTGGGCCCATCTGTTCACATCGAAACTATAAACACCATTCTAGGGGGAAGAGGTGGAAGTAGCAATTTTTTTGAAAATGGAATGAAAGATATCAAATGCAACGCAAGTTGTTCAATTGCTGGATGTTCCAAGTACTTTTGACATGTAGGCCTATAAAGAAAAATCTATCCTGATATCAAATATATATGTAAAATGAGCACTAAATGATATTGAATATATTCAAAGAACAAACCATTGTTATGCTTTAATATCTCCCGTTTTCATAGGCCTTAAATCGCGGATAAATTATCCGATAAACGATATATTATGCTCCTTCGATTTGCTGCTTCAGAGAGAAAAGCATAGCAACTTGATCTGTTGCTATGCAACAGCGCTCATTTTCGTGTAGCCTCGATTGTAGCTTCATGTCGATGAATTGAATTAATTGAATGCAAACATCATGGCCGACAAAATAGAAGACAAACAAGATGAAGTGGTATTTCCTGGTAAGCAGAAGGCTACACGTATGCTCGAAGCACACAGATGATTTTCCAGACACTTGTCTAATGGACACAAAAGCATAGCCCTGCGCACACATTTTCCTTGGTGCTGAAAAGTTTCTAACCACCACCCTTTGTTGTAGAATGTTGAAAATTGTTTGCTTTCATTTCATGTCTAAGCAACATGTTCTCTGAAATTTTGAATAACTAATGAGTTGGGATTTTCAGCATTCATTAAACCATTTTAGCTCGATGAGAGTTGGTCAGCATCAGAACCATCTGATTGAAAAGTTGCTTTCAAAATTATGTTGTTAGTCAATGGCCAATCTGGTCTTCGTAAAAGCAATGGAAAAGGGTTATAACCAAATAAGAAACCATGTATCACATTGGGTATCTAAAGTGTATGAGCATATCCTTTATTATCAGATGCCACTCCCCTCCTAAACTTAGAGGCTCCAGTATCTAAAAGTATTAAGAAAAACTTCTACAGATGGGAATGAAAATAGCATGCAAGCCAGTATTTTCAATGTCAGTTCCAAGAAATATTAAATGTGCGGTGGAAAGAATGGGGTCTGGGGAACTCCCGCAGAAAAATTTTCAAGGACCAATCACTATAGAATGCGGTCGAATTGCCCTTATATATTTTCATATCTGGATATTTTAATTTGATATTTTGAAATGAAATATGTTCATGTTAAAAAACCATTGTTACTAAAGAAACTAAATCTATAGACTAGCACATTCCAATTCCCTGGGAAACTCCACCCTGTATTTCTGTATGCAATAATCTAGTTTTGCCAATGTGATAACCAGACAACCAACTCCACAATATAAAAAACAGTCTACCACAACATATCACAAGTCTCTAGCTCATCCATCAATGCACTTGCTAGATGTTTAGGAATAACCAACTTGTTTGATTCCATAAACAAAGATGCTGGAGACCTCTAGAATTGCTACTGGTGATGAATTTGGGTGTAGAATATACTAATGAAAATAGCAAGATGTGTCAAAATTCACTTAACTTCCTGCAATGTCCTTTCCAAGATTTTGTGTAGAATCCTGGTTATCAGCATTTGTGTAAAAAGATTTCCAGAAACATTCTTCATCTATCTGAGTTGTTACTGTTGCTCCAATTTTATAATGTTATTTTCATTTTTTGCTAGAAAATGTGGACCAGGCAATAATTAAGCAGATTCAAGATATAGAACGTGAGGTATGCCTTTTAAAATCCAGTTGATTCCCCTAGCTATTGCAGGAGTCGAAATAAGGAATTTTGAAGAAATAATGCAACATTTTTGTCAGTCAGGACCTGTGCTGCTAGAACCAGGGGGTTCTGGTGGTGTTATCAGCCCATCAGTGGAGTACAAAGTCTTTGACAAAAATTATCAGCTATAAATCTGGATATTTTGGGATTTGAACCATAATTCTCAGAAATCTGATCTTGGTGTTATTTTAACCCATATTTTAGAAATTTTTGACTCATTAATTTAGCAAAAATCTGTTGTTAAAAATCCAAAAGTCAATAAGATGATACAGTCAGCCAGTTGATTAGAAAGATACAGATGCTACTCTATTTTCTTTACAATCTCATAAAAATTTGATTTAGATACTTACTCTTTGCTTTTAAGGTTGCAGAGCAAAATACATTAATCAGTGATCTAGAAGATATATCATGTTTAAAGGCAGAATATTCCAATGAAGATGAAGTGTATCAAAGAAAAATAGAGGTTTTCATCTAAAACATAGATATATTTAACCTTGTATTGGATATAAATTCATCATATTGTCTTATGAAAAATTTTTTTTGACTCATAAGCAAAAGGCTAATAAAGCAACTTTCTTACCAAGCCTGTTAAATTCCAGGCAGTTAAGGCAAATGAACGCTTTTCTCTTGTATTTCCCCAAGCCTATGTCACAGCTCATGCTCCTTTGTATATCAGGTATTTTTTTGAATCACTCTTTCAAATATTTAACAAAATATAAATCACCTGGCATTTTGCTCTGACACAACATAATAGGGTTTTTATAAAGACATGCTTCTACAGTAGTGCTCCTCATGTCGTATTGTAATTAGTGTCTTATCCATTTTTGTAGAAGCTTTGCTTCTTTTTTGCAGATTAGCATTTTTTAGCACAATTGACTACTAGCCAAAAAATTATATCATTGATACAGCTCATTTAAAATACTCCTAACTCAGGCATTGCTACTTTTTGTTGCCTCTGCTACATATTCACAATTGAGTTTATACAATTTTTTTATTCTAATTTCTGCAATACACAACATCATTCCACGATTTGCTCTGAATTCAATTATCATCATCCCATTAAACATCAAGTCCACTTTAGAATATGCCTTTTACAACCTTTACTTTATATATGTGCCTTCAATATACTTAATTGCAAATTAAACTGATGTAGGAAATATCCGATTCTATGGTTAATCTGTTTCCTTAAATTGTTTAATTTTCAATTCTAGCATCTGTCTTCACAGTATGATAAAATAAGAAGGGTACGAGGTGATGGAAATTGCTTCTTCAGATCGTTTGGCTTTGGTTGTGTTGAATACTTTGCAAATAATTTAGATGCTTTAGACAGGTAATGTTATTCAATGTTAAACAATGCAACTTGATTTGTAGCTACTTTACCTTGCTATCGAGCATCCTTATGAAAAATAAAAAATACATCAACCACACTTGATAAATGTTCTAGATTAATCTAATGCATGATTATGTTAGTTTGGCTAATGGTGTTTTTCATCACTCTTAAAGATTTACAGTTAAACAAAATGCAAGTATACTACGGATAGCATCTAACTTTTAATTTTCCATTTTTAAAAGGTTTAATAAAGAGGTTTTTTATTTAATGTTTTTTGATGTTTTACAATCTTGATGATGTTCTATGCTGTAGCAAGCTGTTTGATGCAAATTATCTGTGTAAACTTGCAAATATCTGTCTCAAGGTAATTGTTGATTTCTTTCCAACCTTAATCCCACTTTTTGCAGCTCCTTTACTGTTCCTTGTGCAAATACTAAGAAGTAAAGAGCAATTTTGTAAAACTTGTTGCTCATTTAACTATCTGGTGTGAAATTGAAAATTTGATAAAAAACACATTTTTGCAGGTTTATCTCTTTTGCTGAAAGAACAAAGGATGAATTAATACAGCTTGGATACCAGAGTTACACAGTTGAGGATTTTTATGAAACAGTAAGTAGTAACATATCCTCAACCAACTCAGCTACTTTAGTTTCATCCTGTGATTCCTTTGTTCTGCTTTGTTCTGCTTTCATATCCGCTGTTTTTCAATTTTTAGATTAAAAATTCGTTCTATAGTTTTCAGTATTTCATATGTACATGAGTTGCTTGCATTACGTTTTTTATTTATATATATTAAGACTGTTTATTAAATCTATTTTTGCCTTCAATATTTTGAATGTGTTTATCGTAAATTAAGATTTATACAGCCGATTTAAAGTTAATTATATGAAAAAATTTGTTAGTGCAGCTTTCTTAGTTTGTAGATACGCTAGAGATGCTGAAAAAAGGATCAACTGTAGAAGAGATGTTGAAGGTGAGTGTGAAAACATTATTAGGCATCGATTATAAAAACACGTGCGTTGAATAAATACCAAAAATTTTTACTTGCCCTAAGTTTTACTTTCCCTAAGAAATTGTTAAAAAATGGTTTGCTATTGATGCTCCGCATCTCCAGGCTTTAAATCTGGTTTAATTTCGAGTTTCTCATTTTCAAGAATCTATTTTGAGCGGTTTAAATAACATTAACTTTTTTTTCGTGGTTTTTATCTGGCCTCCACTGTCCTCGTAACAAAGTTAACAAAGTAACAAAGTTAACAAAGTAACAAAGTTAAGTTATCAAAGATGAGGTGTTTTGATAATCCATGACACATTATGCGTTTGTGCTAAACGTCTGGTTTTGATTCTAGTGGCTACAGGAGAAGAGATCAAACATACTTTGCAAATTTCACTTTTGCTCAATAGGTGAAGCTCATTTTAACACCACCCTCTCTACAAACAAAACCTCTTAAATTTTGATGTACATATAAGTTTTCTCTGTGTATGTTTCTGTTCTTAGGTGTTTCGAGATCAAGCTCTCTCCGACTACTTTGTTGTTTATCTTCGTTTGATGGTTTCAAATTATCTTCAACAAAACGCCGAGTTCTTTTCTGCGTTCATTGAAGGAGAAGGGGGCATGAAGGATTTTTGCGCACATGTGAGTTATCTGCTTACAAATTGCTGGCAAAGACTGATATGTCCTTTATTGTGAAATATTTTATGCCTTGCTCCACTTCCCCCTAGAAAGATCTTTTTGAACCGAAATTGTAGCCGTAGTTTTAGATATAGCATGAAATGACAATAGGACCCAACTTTACGTTTACACAGGAACGAGCGGAACGACCAGGGGGCAAGGGGGGGACAGGCTTGAGTAAAAGGGCATGTGAACAATAATTCCTAGAAATTCTTTCGTAGCTGCTATTTTGTTTTGATCTCCTATAGGTATCTTGTAACCTGTGCAAGGACTAGTATCATGAAAATCAGCTTACTTTTTGCATAAGAAATTTCTTAATAAGTTTGAGCAATGTCATCATATGAATAAGGCAGTACAGTCAGAATTTCATATTAATATTTTGATAATTACAAACGGCTGATGTCAAGGGCACTTCTTGCCCCTCCTATCAGAGGCCCCTGACATCATTGCCCCTCAGGTGGATGACCCCCCCCCCCGCCCCCGTCTTTGGCGTCCCTGCGTTTACACTATACTTTGTGGTCAATGCAGTGGATCCGAACGTGAGGTCAACCCAGGTTAGCGTAAACCCAGGTTAAAAGCTGTAGTGTAAACAGGGCTCATGTTGCTTACTAGGGACCAAAGATCTTGAATTCTTTTCTAAGTGCAATCAAATTAAATAGATCTAAAGTTTTTATCGAAGCTTGGTTTTCTGGCAATACATTCTGCAACTCAGCATGTACTAGCACTAGTCAGTTCTGTCCATAATGCAATCTCTTAGATGCTTAATGTTAGCGTTAATCAGTGGTATAATTATTGTCTAGCTAACATTGAATGAGGTTTATAATGACTCTCATGCCGAGGGAAATCTGCCCGTTCCTGAGTGTGTGCTGTCTTCAGACAGAGCTGTTTCTTAGCAAAGCATGTGATTTCTGATATAGAGTTTTTTATTTGAAACTCTCTGACATTGAATTTTTGACTGTTTTTAGGAAGTTGAACCAATGGCAAAAGAAAGCGATCATATACACATAACTGCCCTCACAAATGCCTCTGGAATATGTGTCAGGGTTGTCTACATGGATCGCGGTGGATCGGCTATTGTTAATGACCACGATTTCCCGGAAGACGGATCTGCACCTAAGATGTGCCTCCTTTACAGTCCTGGGCATTATAACATCCTATACCCTACGAATGATAACAAGCAAGAGGAGAATAGTTGACAGATGAACGAATAGAATTTATAGTCATAGTGTTAATTATTCAAGTACTTGTCAGGTAGGAAACTGACGAAAAACTAATTGTTTCGGACATTGTAATTATAATTTTCCAGTTTCAAGAATTATGAATGTCTTTTATCTGCTTGACTTCTTAGAAATGATTCAAGATTGCGGTCACATTCCTGACTGCATTTTCCAATGTATTAAAATTTATGTGACAGTTTTATTTGTCTGTTTTAAACAAAGTTGGACGATGTGTTGACTTTGTCAATAGAAGAGACTCACAGTTCTTGTATTTAACATGTACCAGGCATTTCTACACACAGTATGAAACATCTGTGCCATCTGAGAACTCTGCATCTCAAAGCGTTGGTGCATTTTGTAATAAGGATACTTTTCTAATGGTGTATTTAAAGCTGAAATACTGGCAGTGTTTTGCTCTTGATCTGGATCACTAAAATCTGACTTTTTAGCTTTTCATAAATAGCACTAGAATTTGTACTTCCAAATATGATTTTCCTCCCGTTTGGTCAGCATTTTTATACGATATTATAGAATTTACCATATTCTATTACATATTCATTCATAGCAGTTTTGACATTTGCAACCAAACATCCGGGAAACTGTGGGCACTTATCATGAGAGTAAGCCTCAAATCGTTCATTTCATTTCTAGCATGCCTAAAAACAATGACGAAAAGGGACATGTGAATATTTCAAAATAAAATTTGTCTTTTTCTTTTCCAATTTAAAGAGTGATTTTGGCTAATTAGAATCAGTATTGTGTCACTAAAAGGTGTTTTTGGTTTGTCAAATTGAAAGAACTCAAATGGTTACAGGAGCGCATTGGAATGCATAATTTAGGATGAGTGAAAAATTTACTTTATACCCAAAATGAGCATAAACATTTTATACTGAGTCTTTTAATGCTTGAAAACATGGCGGTAGACACATCCCCATCCGAACCCTTGGCAACTGTACCCCTAGATGATTTATAAACAAACCCAACGCTGGACATTGAACGCTCATGCTGCAACCCTTGGCAAACATCCCTAGAACATCCTGTTGCTAAAGTGTTGGGAAAATGAAAGGTTAATGGTAGAAATGCGGACACCCCAACCCCCTATTACTTAAACATTTTTTTGTATAGTACCTATTTTGACAAGGTATCAATATTGTTCCAAATGAGGAAGAGATGCTATATATCTTGCGCCAGAATTTGTGCAGTGTATCAATGCAGGTATATGCAGATACCAACATAAGATTGATTGACACTGAAGTATATTTTCTGGGACGTCTTCACATTCTTCTCGATTTCACAAGATCTCACACATAACATGTTTTTGTTGATGTCACCAAATTTAAAAATCGTGAAACAAAGTTCACAATCATTGGTAATCGAGAGGCTGTCCAGGAGCTCTCGACGGCAAACAAAACTTTGCTGCTCAAAGGGGATAATATTGTAATTACATTCATCATAGCAGTTTTGGAATCTATCTACATAAGCACGAAAAAACCGCTACTGTGTAGACAGAAGGAGTTCGTTTTCACCTTAGAACTCCATTGGTAACATTCTCAATAGGCAAGCAGCACTGATTGGTCAACCTATACAGTCATGTGCTCGTGTTTCTGATTGGCCTATTTCGATCCACAACTGGGTATATATATTTCCTAGCGTAGAGTCTATGTTCTGACGTTTTAAACTCTGAAGAGTATCAGACGAAAAGCTTTAGTTTACTAAATGTTTGCTTTTTTCAAAGTCATTTATAATTCATTATATTATTCTTATATCATATGCTTCCCATTTCCATGTTTTTATTGACTGAATCTTGAGTCATATATGGTATTTTATTAATTTTCTTTGCAATGCTAGTTTCAGTTGTTCTTTTGCTATTAAACTAGATTTTGAGATGCTATCGTTATTTCGTTTTTGTCATTTCTTCTTCTTGACTTAAGTACATTAAGTTAAACAATTTTCAGCGGATAAAATTTCGGACAAACAAATTTTTGGCCAAATGCTGACCAGTTATTTTGGTGTTGACAGTGAAACCATTCAGATTATTGATTCACACAGATTTTAAAGATTCTATCGAACTCTTGATAGAATAGTGAAGAGCTCTGGGTTCTGAAAATGTGCTAATATTAAGAAACTTTTTGCACTGAACTTTCAGTGACGGTGAATTTTGATAAAATGAAAACGGCGATGTCATTCGTTTGATTGATATTTCTATTAGCTGTTTTAAAAAACTTTCAAAACTGTTTTAAAGGATGTAACCTTTCGCTTTGCTTTGCTCTGTAATGGGAAACTGGTCAGGGATCACTTCATTTTTGTTGCTTCAGTCAACTGACATTTTGCATGGGCAGTTAACACAAAAATTTTCGGCAATCTCTAAATTTCGTACAGTACTTATTCAATTATCCGGTATTCTCGGGACACGGGATTTGAAGATTCGTGCGGATAATCCAAAATTCCGGATAATTGAAAACATACGAATTACGGCAGAAACCAGCATAAATAAACAGGATGATTGTTGTGAAAGTTTATTTCTAAGCACACATTACAAACGAATGCACCACAAAATTTCGTATCTTCAATAAACCCCAACCCCCTCCCCTCCCTTTTTTTTTCTTTTCTTCATATTAGTGTGCATATATATATACATATACATATATTCTGTATTTGCGTATATATATATATATATTCATTTTTATTAGCTTTTTCCATATATTTCTTTTCCATGCTCTTACATTCGTCCTTCTATTCCATTCATCGAATTCCATATTCTTTTAACGGTTTTTAGATCTAACATCGCTTTTCTATCTCACATGATAACGGGCTATGCTCGAAACGTCGTTAAGTATTTTAAAAAAATTTTCCTGGTACAATTTACCTACATTGATCGTTATTTAATGCACCCAGTACTCTTAAAATACTCATAAAATATTTAAATTGGAAAGCAAGAAAAACGCTCCCGATACATCATCAAAAATGATGAAAATTTTCCTAAGGTTTTTTGCATTTTTTACGGACTGGATAAACGAAGTCCTTATTTCCATTCTGTGGTCCGGATAAACAGTGGGTCCCGAACACTGATGTAAAAAAACTTTAAGAAAATTGTTCTAGAAGTGCGGCCGCTGAGAAATCGCAGCAGCCATGCCCTTGTGACCACTTTGGCAGACTTGTGGTCTTGTTTGCTACGAGGAAAAGCCGGTTCAGACAAGTAAAGTCAAAGTTTCTGTCGCCAAATAGTGGCAAAGGTGGGTAAATCTAGATCAGTGGTCCCGAATCAGAATCTTCAAGTCCAAAAGAGGCTTAACTTAACAACAACAGCAACAACGCCACAGGTAAAGACCACCGGCGTCATTGTTCTTCATGTGTCTATGTAACGTTTACTCATAAGTCTATTCCCTAGGCTGAAAGGTAACCATAAAAAGACTTCCAAGGTAAGCAAAAGTTAATCAATCGAGCTGAGTTTCAGATTTTAAGCGAGAGAGCGCATTGTTAGTCGCAATGCTGTGACCACGATCGATCACCCCGCCGGTACCATCACCATCTGGGTACTTGTTTATCTTGGATTTAAAACGTGTAGAACGGTGAAAGGCCCATCATAACAACAACACAGCTTGACATTTAACTGTACTGCACTGTCCACGAAAAGTCATCTTCGCTACTATTAAAGGTTATGGTGCAACTTTAGTTCTTTAACTAAAATTCAGTTAGGCCTCAATAAAATGTCTTCAAAAATGTTTCGTCTGGCGTCCTACCGCCCACCTTGCTTTTGGCGTCTCGAAGTGACAAGATCTTACAGAGCAAACAAAGGTTGTTTTGGATACTTACCATCAGCAATTGGAAGAAAGGAAAGGACTCTTGTGGATGGTTAGTATTTTGCTCCAAATTAAAATTTTTATTAAAATTGCTGATTTATTTTAGTTATTTCATTGTTGGTATGATTTATTAAACAAAAAGGTAAGGCAAATTTTTCTTCTAAGATCTGTTATGTAGACTTTTCACCTGCTAAGATTGGATTACTTGAAGCTCTGCTATAATTTGTATTGGTTTTAACTTAAAAGTGAACTGACATGCAAATTAACTTGACCTCGAATGAAAGCATATCAAACATAAACACCCGAGACATTATTATTTTTGAAATATTCAACCAGTTTTTGAGTTATTGAGCATTATAGTTAGCTGACGAACCTTTTTCTGTGCATGGACAAGCTTACCCCTGCCTTTCGCGCATTATCATACTTTTATGATTTTGCAGAAGAGCATCAATAAATAAATTGAGTATGTTTTGGCTTGATTTTGACAACCTGATTGGAAAATAGATTATGACTCGTCTACAAACCTTTCATAATAAAATTTGCAATGAATATTTTATATTCAACGTGTTTGTGGCCCTTCCTCCGTCTTGCAGGACCCAGTGTGTGGCAGGCCAACATCAAATGATTGGCAGGGTTTTTATTTTCTGGAAACCTAGGTGTAAAATACTTTTATTTTGTAAAATTCAGCTGCTGTTACACAAATTTATCAGTGTTGCCCCCCTCAAAAAGTTGCATCTCAGTCTTTGATCCTGATTAAATTCAATATGTGCTGTAAAGATTTGGAATTTAAGCCCCTCATTATCAGTACATTCTTTATATAATCACTTAAAGATTTTTGGGGTTTAAGGACCTGCTATGATTGAGCCGCTATTTGCTGGAAAACAACTTCGTAAAATTTCAACTCCCAGGCCGCTGCACTCCTGTAACTCGGGTGAACCGAGTATGGATGTAGAAATAATCTATTGAAGTAATAACATTTTTAATTTATTTGAAAAAGAAGCTAGATTCATGAAAAAATGAAAATTTTTTTTACATTCATCTGCATGATTAACTTCAGAATTGAGAATTTCTCCGAGCAGCTAAAAGTGCCTATTCCTTCCAAACTTGAGTTCTCTCCTAACATAGTACCAACCAGCACATATTCTTCATACATTCATTAGCCTTGAATCTTTATATATATTTGATCAAAGGCTACATAGATCTCCTCAAATAGTAACTGAACAAGAAGAACTGAACTGTCCAATTTATGCATGATTTGCATCCAAAGAATAAAAACATGGTGTTTGTGATGTCACACGCACTAGGTCACATGAAATGCTGACAATGGTCGAGCACTCAACGATAATTTCATGACATTTAAAGGGGAGTCACATCAAAACGGACAATAATTATAATTAACTGACAACTTGAAATTAAGATTCCATGCATCATTTTCTGCATCTTATCAAAAAACAGTTTTGCCTGTTAGTTCACCTTTAATATTCTACTATGTTTGAATTTAAGCTACTATTTTTCTGCATTAACATAATATATGATAACCTTCATAGGGTAGCAAAAAAGAAATATACTATGAAGATGTTTTTTCTTTACTCTAGAAACAGAGGGTATAATCCAGAATAAAGCTGAAAATGCAAATCTGATTCGATTTGTTGAAGCATATAGACACTATGGCCATGAAAATGCAAACCTAGATCCTTTGAATATCAGGAAAAGGTTTGGGTGATTTTTCTCACATTAAGACAATTTTTTATACATGATGTCATTTAAATGCAATTTAATTCTGATTCAGCTTAATCCAGATCTGCAAGCCTGGCCATTTGAGGAGAGCCATAGCTCTTGCTCTCCTCCAGACTCTTCAAATGCCAGAGGGGAGCTACAGATTGCTCTCCTAAATTGCTTTCCTTGAAATAAATTTTTCTTTGTTTCTATTCTTATTTACCTTCAAATAGCTCACCTAGAAAAGGACTAGGAGAGCTGTTCACTGCTCCCATGTTGAAATTCTTATGGCCAGGCCTGGATCTGCTAAAATGTAATTTTATTTTTAGTCTGACTCATGAATGAATTTTAGTTGTAACCAGTGACATACCCAAGGGGGAGTGGGGATCCAGACCCTCTAATTTTTAAAAGAATTGTTCGCAAGATTTTCCCAAAAATGCTATAAAATTAATAACTTAAGGGAAGAGTTGGTATTTGATAGATCTGGTCAAAGTTAGAAATCTTTTAACAATATTTGATTGCTCTATGCTGTTGGCATTAAAAATGAGAAAGTTACTTCTATGACAGGATATGAATCACATAGTGTAGGAGTTAATTTTATTTGCTTCTAAAGTATTATAGTGACACTTTATAAATTTGTAATTATGATTGCAAAGAATTATTTTCTGTTTCCAATTTGAATTTCTTACAGCCATCTTTCTTCAAATTAAAGATCTCAAAAAGGGAGTTTTCTTCTTATCTCAGGGTCTAAAAGATGTGGCAACAAAAATTAAACTGTCATTTTGCATTAATTTTTCATTGATATTAGTTTTAAGAATTTCAGCAAACAAGATTCTCCATGGATTTATAACTCTAATATTTTATCCATTAGATGTGATCTATATTTGAACCCAAATTTGTACAATTTACAAGAGACTGGATCAGACAAGTTTTATAACTTGGCAGGTAATAAATACTTTTTGCTTTTTTTCTTTTGTTGATACAAAATTGGCTAGTTAGCTTATCAGCTAATCTTGGTGTTCTTTGCCGGTAAAAATACAGATTATTTGGTTTGTTCAATTTCAATGTTTCTGCATTTATTTAAAATTTCCATTTTGAGGATACCATTTCATGTTTATTATTCTATTTCTGTTTTATTGCATGCAATGATTTAATGACATTTCAGTCTCTGAATTTCATGCAAAAAAATTTGTTTATAAACTAAATCCTGTTGAACTGTTCTTCCCCATATCGTTTTACTAGGTGTCGTAAATATTCCTGAAAAAGCCAATGGCACTTTAATGGATGTGAAAAAGCATTTGGATGAAACCTACTGTGGCATGTTGTCTGCAGAATTCACCCACATCAAGGTTTTTGTGCATCAAATGAAAATTTCACAATTTTGTTACATTTCCCTAATTTTAAATATCTCTAATTTGAAAATCTAGTTGACCAAAATCTCATTCATGACAACATATATTTTCAAGCAAACAATCAAGGCAATCATTAAATTTATACATCGTTAAAACTTCCAAGGTGGACAATTCATTTTTGGTATTTTTGATTAATATCAATATTGATAGGTTGGTCTGCTGACCTAAATGTAGCAGGCTGGATAATCAGCATGGCTAAATAAATCTAAGAGCTATAATTATAATGAATAACTTTTAGTTTGAAAGGAGCAAAATGCTCTTAAATCCTGCTTTTTCTCATACAAAATCTTTTGAACGGGAAAGAGATACAAAATGTTACTATTTCTTTATTACTGTCTTTCATTTAGAAACAAAACCTTTATCTGAAGAAACAGAAAGTTGTTAATCTAATAATTTTTTTAAAATTTAGGATGAAAATGAGAGAAACTGGTTTGCATCAAAAATTGAAGAGTCCAGAGCATGGGTTCTAAGTGATGAAGAAAAGAAAAAAATGGCTTTAGAAATGCTTAAGTCCCAGGTTTGTATAAAGCAATATTAAACCCTGAATTTATGCTTGTAGCACTATATTAAGACACATGAATTTTATGCTTGAGAAAAGTATGAGCTCTTTCAAATATACTGAGTAACAAATTCTGTCAATAAATCTCAATTTAATCTGACAAGGCAGAATCCATTGCTCGGTCCCCATGTTTGCTTCAGCATATTTGGTTCCTTATAAACATGACAGACTTTAGAACAATGCACCAAATCGTATACTAGAAATTTTATTTGATCTAAAACAAGTACAAATTATGAATCTTAAACTGAATAACTGGAATAGAAATTGAATGCGAAGATACAATAAAGTAAAACCTGACTTATGGTGATGTCTCTAAAGTATCAGCGATTGCAGTTACGATCGTGTCCTTTTTCAAAATTTAAAACTACTAACGAAAACTAATTTTCATAATAATAAGAGCACAGTGGGATAACATAGAGCAACTTTTGTCAGCATAATAATAATACTTAATACTCAATCAAGTATTATTATTATGCCCTTTAAGAATACTCGATCAACAAAGCAATACTTAATCATGCATTTGTAACTTACATTAACATTGCTACTTTGTGAAATAGAAATCTACTGTAGCTATTTTGGTAAATGGTAAATTGGAGACTCAGGTCAGTCAACAAGGCTGCACATGTTGTGTTTGCTTGCATTATTTAGCGATAGAAATATCATTGAGGGAAATGAGTTATAGAGGAATAAACACAGAATTTGACTATCCTGGCTCAGCACACGATTTAATCCCTGATTGCCATTTAAGCCCTTTTAATTAATCTATAACACTGTTTTTCGTTGCAGGCATTCGATCAATTTGTTGGAAAAAAATTCATGACACTGAAAAGGTATAGTGGTGAAGGAGCTGAAAGTATGATTGCATTTATGGACGAAGCTTTTGCCTCATCTGCTTCATGTGAGTTTTCTATCGTGGTATTAATTTATTTAAGTGATTTCTAAAGATGTAAATTCCAAAGAAATTAACTGGATGTAATGGGAAATACTGTTTCCACTGTATTCCTTTTTTTCATAATCACCCCTTGCTATAAGAAACGAATACTGAGCAATTGGAAAAAATGAGACACTTCAGAATTTTATGCTTAAAAGCTAAGAAAGAATTAAATTTTGAAAAGGCAGAAATTCAGAAATTTCGTGAAATTCTACCAAAAATACTGGCTGATGGGCATAGAAGTTTATGCACATAGAATGAAAATATACTTTTGCAATTTAAGTACAGCATAAGAACAGACCGGGCGGGGCGCCACCAAGGGGGGGGGGCGCTTTACCCCTCCCCAATACTTTGTCCGTCGGCATATAAAGGTTTTTTTCGGATGAAAGAAGAACTATTTTTTTCACGCTTTTGTATAATTGTAACTTTTGCAACAATTGTAACGTACGCATTAACATTTCTATAACAGCTGAAATGTCAAAGTATGGCACTAAAAATACTTGAATTTGAAATTGAATTTTTCGAATGCTGAATATAAAAACAGAAGCTCATAAAATCAGCCAATAGCATTGCATATCTTATGACCTTTAGGAGTAAGACTGAACAAATACACTCATTTAAACAAAGTGCACTCTGTTAGGAATTATTGCAGTATTTATGCACAATGAATTAAAAAGCCAGATTATTTATGCATAATTTACCAGCTGCAAATCATAATGCTCGGACGCATTGGTCTTATACCCTTTGGCAAGGTACCTTGTTACTAGTATCTTGAAACGTTATCTTCGGTACTTTTTTGAAAGTATCTAATGTCTTGTAGTAAGAATAAGATACTTTCTTTTGTGGCTAACAGTGTATTGTAATAAGATATTTATTAAGGTATCTGGTCCATCTCAGATTGGTTTTCATTGGATTGCCGTCATTCCATCTGCAACTTAGCTCTGTTGGCACCAAAACGCTGCCAATTTTCAATTTTCATTTTCAAGTTACCTTATCTACATAAACGAAACGACACTAATTCAAGTATTAATTTGAAATAAATGCTGAAGGTTTTCGGTGGTGTTTTAAAAACTTTCAGTGAAGTTGTACCTCTTTTTTCGTTCAATACTGTTTGTAACAGTTTTGATACACCTGAAAGTTTGTAAATTTGTGTTGGCCTTTGTATATTCTATTCTTTAAGATTATCTTATCTTAATCGCATTTAATTGAAATTATCATGGTCTCAATCACAATTTTCAGACGGCCTTGAGGATATTATCATGTGTATTCCACACAGAGGAAGGCAGAATTTATTAGTCGGCTTGCTAAACTATTCTCCTACTCAGATGTTTTCGAAGGTAATTTAAAATCTTTGAATTGTCAGTTGTTGGCCGAAAGGCCTTAGAACTTTTGGGCACTGTAATATATGATACTGTAATACTACGCCTAACGATTTAATTCATTTTGTTGACATAATCGTCTCATTTACTAAAGCTAGACATTTTGAGTAACCACAGCCTACCCGTTTGTTTGCCTAATTTTATTATTTGGATCGTCTGTTTGAGGTTAGTAACCTTGTCCCTGATTTTGTAACTATTTTGTAATACAACCGTACTTCCTTGTATCGATTGTCCATATTTTGTGGAGAAGATTTTCCGCATGTTACGCTGTATTGGCGTTGGGAAAACAGCGAATAGTTGCATGTTACCACTACCGTGATGCCTCGAATAATCGCCCGGGCGCTTATTTAATTTTTAAGGCTCCAGGATGGGTGCGTAATCGAGGGAGGCGTTTAATCGAGGGGGCGCTTAATCGCTTAATTAAAAAAAATGAATGTGTTTTTAATTGAAGCACTTGTTCTTTTCTTTCTTGATAATGATAAGTAGAATTCGAATAATCGCCCGTTTCTGAAAGTTGAAGGATGGGCGCTTATTCGAGGGGGCGCTTATTCAATAATTTCACCTCTACAAAGGGCGTTGATACCAAATCTTGATTTTGATACCAGTATTGTGTTAATGCTAATGCCAGATCTTTTACATTACATACATGTCAAAATGTAAATCATTTTCTAAAAGTTGACGGTTTTGATTTTTCCATCGCATCAGAGACGGTCTTGTAACATAAAACTGAACGTACCATTCAACAATTTCAGGATTACTTTTGAGATCTCAATGAAATTTTAGTCTTTTTTTTACCTATAATATTAAGCCATTTAGTCAATGATTCTTATGTTGTTATAAAACACTCATTGATGAATGTACATCGTTTCTAGATGAAAGGAAATCCCGAATTCAGCTCAGACCTGAAGTATACGGGCGACGTTCTTTCTCACCTTTGTAAGTAGCGAGTTATCAAACTATGAATTGTGAAATAATCCGCCAGTCTAGGTTTAATAAAGACTGAGTCCGCAATATTATAGACTGTTTAACTCTGCAATATTTGCATTTTTTGCGAAATGTTTTAAGCCATTTATTGTGGACGCATTCTCGGTGCGAATTCGAATGACTTTGTGCATTTGAATTTTGCAGACACATCAACGGATTTGGAATATGGCGACAGAACTTTGCACGTGTCTATGTTGCCAAACCCATCGCATTTAGAAGCTGCGAACCCTGTTGCGGTTGGCAAAGCAAGGGCGAAGCAGTTGCAGCATAGTGAAGGCCACTATGGGGACGGGTCCACACAAATGGGAGATAAGGTTTGGGGTTTTGCTTCGTTTTTTGGCGTTCAAAAAGATAGTGACCTGGGTGCTGTAAAGAATCTCAGCCATTCTTGTGTCGAAAATGAAGTCAATCCTGTTTTAATCCAAGAAATCTATGTCTTGTCTATCTTTTTAGCTCCATGTAACGCTATGTCATCACAGATTTCGGCTGATCCTCCATTGATACAAATTATAAAGCTCAGGCCATGAAGTATCCCTTATTCATTCTATCAATGCCTTTATGTATATTTTGTTTATAAACTCCGCCTATTTTTCATTTGCCCCTTCCTAGTATGTTAAATCTAATCGCTTATGCTTCTGTTCAAGGTATTATGCTTGCAAATTCACGGGGATGCTGCAGTGTGTGCTCAGGTAAATTGTGATAATTATGCGAAACTATGATAATCTAGTTTCAAGCATGATATCATCAGATCGGTAGTATATCAGCACTTTAGTGAGTAGGTTGTTCTGTTTTACTCGTCCGTTTGTAGTGGCAGACCCTTTTCTTACTTCCAAACCATGCTTTTGACTACCACACCGGTTTTTTAGCCCTGGGATCCTTTGTGACGTTTTGATGCTCCAATCAAGCCACGATTTATTACGCAGAGTGCAATCATGCTTTAATTACAAACGGTTTTTAAAGTCCCTGATAATCCTCATCTGATCTCTGTTTTAAAGAAAAAGATTCCTCTCTGTCTCCAATTTCGATATGGATTACCTTATTTTTAATAAGATTTCATTAAGCTGCAGCCAGATTTTGATAAGACACACATTCATCTCTTGAAGAGAGTCATGTTGGTTGTTTAAAGCAATCGATAGATATGCGATAAATAGAAAAGCATCATCTGCAAATTTAACCATAAAAGTAAACAAGGAAGTTTCAGCAAAGTCTTAAGCATAGTCAGAAGTCTGTCTAAAACATAGTCAGAAGCAGATCAAATGCTCGCCATTGCTGTGTATTTTATATTAGTTTAAGTCTTTTCAAAACCTCACCTTCTTCAAAAGCCAATTCAAGCCTCGAGAAATGCCACATTGCGAAGTGTTCATATATCCTCCAGCAACGAAAACTATTCTGCATGGCTCAAACTGACCCTAGTTCTCAACTTCAAGGCTTTTTTCTGGCTTTCTACCTCATAATATACCTTACTATGACAGTAACTATATGATACGAAATCTGTTTATTCAAAGTTCGCATATGTCCATTCATTACAGGGGATTGTGATGGAAACACTTTGTTTAGCTAACCTACAGCATTTTGATGTCGGTGGGAGCTTGCATCTAATAGTGAACAACCAACTGGGTTTTACAACGCCTGCAGAGAGAGGAAGGTATTTAACGCCAGGCGATTTCATGTATTTGATTCTAAATTCTAAGGTTTGGTCGAATAAAGCCATTTTCGAGCAAATTTTATCAAAAATTTCGTCAGGCTAATATGTTTCAAATGCTTAGCAATGCTTATAATTGATAATAGACATACCTGTTTTTTTGTATGAAAGAATTAAAACCTTTGCAATATGATTTAATGGAGGATCATTTAAACGTCAAATCGATTCGGTCACCACTTGTGTGACAAGATAACACGGCCCAATTTTTTCAGCACCATCATTAAAACTAAGCTAGAACTTTTTTTTTTTTCTGGAATCCTTGTCTTTCTGTGTGTCGGCGTTTTTTCCTTGCTTATTTAGTTAGATTTGTAACCATTTTTCTTTTATCGTTTCAGTTCTGCAGCAAATGTCAGTGATATTATCAAATTTATTGGATGTCCTATAATTCATGTTAATGGTGACAATCCAGAGGTAATCATATTCAATTTAACTTATGAATAAATTCAATTTTTTAAAGACCTTGAAAGATGTGTCTGTATGTAAATGTATAGGAAAGGCCATTCGACAAAGTTGATTTTAAGCTGTGAAATGATGAGTGACGTAATTACGGATCAAAAAAGGCTTTGAAAAAAGCGAACATTTACTACATATTGGCTAAACGTTTTTTCGTCTGACACTCCTCAGAGCATAAAACGTCAGAATGAAGGTCCAAAAGAATACAGAAAGAACACTATATTCCCAGTTGTAGATCGAAATAGGCCAATCAGAAAAACACAAGCACAAGACCAGTATAGTTGTCCAATCAGTGCCGCGTGCCTGTAGGAAAATTACCACTGTAGTCCAAAAGAAAGTGGTAAAATATCTATTTGATACACTGAAAGTAGCACAGTAAGTTTTTAACGAACAGTTATTGAGATGAAAATTTTGAAATATCACCAATCTTTCACTGTTAACGAAGCCTTGAATAAACAATACTTCCCCAAGACTCAAAACGTTGTGCTATGCCTTTTCTATCTCTTTGATAAAGTCATAGCTGATAAAACGTTGGAATACTGGCCACAAGGAAGTATTCAACTTATAAAGCGGCCATTTTTCGTATTTAAATGCGTTTGATCAAGTAAGATCTTTAAAGCTTAAATAAGACTTTTGCAATAGAAAATGAAGCAACGTGCATGCGTTTAAAGACTTGTTTAAATATTTGATATAAAGATGTCATTTTTTATCTGATTTGATAGATTAAAGAAATTTATTTTGCCATCTTTTTCATTTAATTGTTGGTTTTCTAATCACTGGATTGGAATTTACGGAAAGTGGGCAAATCAAATTCCGTGATATTAGGTGGTGCAATATTTCATATAATACAAGAAAAAACAATCAGAGAATATTTGCATACATAGATTCAATGGCTCTTTTGAGTCATTTCTTGGAATTGAATTCAAACACAGCTATTTCCGGAAATGTAATCTACTATATTGATGAAGAAAAGTTTTTCCAAATGTGCTTGAAAGATTTGCCTAATTGACGGAATTGATTTCAAACTTCGTTCAATGCAAATAATAATTTTTGGTTTATTTGACTTTAAGGAAGTAGCAAGGGCATGTAAACTTGCTTTGGCCTACAGAATGGAGTTCAGGAAAGACGTTATTGTAAATCTTTTATGTTTTCGTCGATGGTGAGTTTATTTTTCTAATTACTTGCCAATTTGGATCCTTTTCTTGATGTTTTTACTTTGATGTTTTGTCGGTTTATCGGTAGTCTGGTCATGCCCCTCTTTAAAGGCAATACCAATATTCTTAATCGGTATCTCTTTACTGTTTGTTTTTCATTACTGACCGCAGCTATATTCTTATCACACGCACTTACAGATTCCACTTGTAATGATTTAAAACATTATGTTTGTTAGTTAATAAATTGTTTTAGTGCTTTCTTTGTTCTTTTCATTTTGTAAACCGACAGCCTGTCGGTATATAAGCAGTGCTGAAATTTATCCCTGGAACTACCACTTTTAATAATTGATTCAATTACAGGGGGCACAATGAATTAGATGATCCAACTTTCACCAATCCATCAATGTACAAAATCATCCACAATAGGAAGTCTGTGCCAGATTTATATGCAGAAAAACTTATTGAAGAAAAGGTGGCACCCCCGGAATTCTTTGCTGATCAACTGCTGCAGTATAATGAAGAACTGTCACAGGCCCTCACGACATCTGATAATTACAAGCCAGAAAATTTTCATTTCAAAGACCTCTGGAGCGGGTACCAGCAGGCACGAGATGATGCAGTTACAACTTGGAGCACAGGTATCAGATCTAGTTCCAAATATTCAATGCTGGCGACCGTTTTGGTAATAATTTTATCTTCCTGAGCGTTCTTTGAATTAAAATGAAAATTAATAAAAAATCGTAAACAAACGGCAGCGAGCAGAGAGTTTCAAATTCTAATACCACAGTAATTTGTCTTCGATAAAGGCTAGTTTAGAATTAGGCCTTATTTGTCAAAAATTTGAACAGTTTCTTTCAAAATTTTGGTATAACGTCTTGTGAGGCCAGTATTTTCTGCGCTGTAATAATTGCCGACTTGAATAACAATATATACAGTACGATATGGCAAATTTTAAGCTTCTCCATATACCTCGAATTTTGTTCATTCTAGTTTTCTGTTCAATTAGCACTCTTTGTTAATGGGCCTCTTTCTTGACTTAACAGTATCAGATTCAAGAGGGAAGTTGAGCAAAAGATGTATTTTGATTATCAAAATCTGTTTGAATTTTGTCTGCCTATAGCAAGTAAATCCAGAGAATTATTAGACAGCTAGAACAAATGTGTTTCAAATTGCCATGCTCCAAACAACTAACAAACTCATAAAGAATTAAACATTTCGCCCTCATTTATATATTAAACATTACCATCATATAAAAGGTAAACCTTTGCTGGTTAGATGACAGTTTTGAATCTGAAAAAGAAACTTTAACACGGGGTTTCCAGTTTTTCATATACGTTTGGTATTGTTCAAAAGCAAATTTATAATTCGGTGAAATAAAACTGTAAATTTATACAACAGGAGTTTTGTTATAATGCTATTTGATGTGGGTGTGTGTTTGAGTTATACTGTAATTAGCAGTGTACTTTTTAGAAGTAACTTGCTATTGCAAAAGATCTCCTCTACACCCACATTATTTATCGTCAATCAGTGGTAAGGGATTCTTTTCTTTAACAGGATGTGAAGCAGATTTACTTCGATTTGTTGGATCCAAGTCCGTGGGATTTCCTGAAGATTTCGACATACACAATCATTTAAAGAAAACTCACTGTGACGCAAGAGTCAATAAATTAAATGAAGGCAAGAATATTGACTGGGCAACTGCAGAGGCGTTGGCTTTTGGGACACTGTTGCATGATGGTATGTTGACACAACTAAAACTTTCATTGATGCTGTTTAATCAAAAACGAATGCTCATAAAGGCGAGCCCCACGTCATCACTTTGTAAGATCTAAGACTGCTAGTCGTCAGTGTTTTAATATAGAGAAGCCTTGTGTTGTTGTGACTATAGCTGTTATACTCGACTATAGCTGTAACACCACGAAGAAGCTGGTCCTAATATATAACGCATGATCCTAATATACTTGTATACTGAGCTATATTTGCACTATTTCGCGACATGTTTAAGTTTTGTAATCTGATAGAACTACTTTCTTACTTATACAGCCACCATATGTTAAATTACGAATCGCCTAATGTTTTCTCAGTCCTTTGCCCCGCCATTTGTTCGTTCATGTAAATCCCTGCCCTCAAATGATTTGACCCTTTGTATTTTCCTTGTCGATTCTTGTCCAGGATACAATATTCGGCTGTGTGGCCAGGATGTCGGGCGTGGTACTTTCAGCCATCGACACTGCATGCTAATTGATCAAGAAACTGATGAGCTTTTTGTGCCTCTGAATCACATGACAGAGGATCAGCAATCGTTCTTAGAGGTAACTCACTCATAGCTAAAACTTACCCAGTCTGTATTTTTTAGATAATGAAGCTGGTTTCTTTTATGTTTTTAAAAGTTTTCCCCTTGTTACCAATCCAGAACAGGTTGCTTTGTAAGTTCCAGAATTAAATTCCTTATCTTGAATCATCCAAAAGAGTTGCATGCTCTATTGATACTGAGAATGATCTGTCATGCACATGTCCAAAAAAGAGTATGACACTTGAAAGATTAGTGCTTGTAAAGTTTATCATTTTAGATTTATGAAAGAACTTGTTTGGCTAGTTTGACAAATGTATTCCATTTCTCGTTGAGTTTCACAAATATTTAAAAACACGGTGTGCAGAAATTTAGGGCAAATTGCAGCATATCAAAAACATAAGACTACAAAACAAGACATTCGTAAGAGCAGACCTTACAAACTCCTGAGATAAAACAGAAATTAAATGCCTTTGCTTCTCATAGTTAGGACTTGAAATGGAGTAGACTCCCTTTGACGAGCCGCAAAATAGCAACGCTCTTTACAGTGAAATTTCATATGTGATTTCTCTCTATCTTCTAGATATCTGCAAATATTAACGTACTTATTACTTAAATATATCCTTTTAACTTTGTAAGCAAAGGTAAAACATGCTTTATACCAGAAAGTTCAATGCTATGACAGTAGCATGACGATCTGGTTTCGTACAATTGTTTTCTCCTTCATGAATTTTAAATATTTCTACTGCATCCAGTAGCAAAGATGTATTTAAATTTATTGTTGAATTTAACACTATTTAGCAATCATGACACATCAGTCATCATAATTTCAGTTCAGGTAAAGCAATTTTTTTAACATAGTGACTGAATGGAATTACAGCTGGTTACTAGCCAATACCCAAAGAGCAGTAGCAGATATTTTTGTCATTGATAAAGTATTATTTGTTCCTATGATTTTATTAGCTATTAATTTATTACTAATCTCACAAAACCCAGCAGAAGAAGGTGAATGGTTCACCCTGTTTTGGTTGCCTGGTAAAAAATAATTTTTTCCGAAATGTTGCAAAAGTTAAACGAAAACAGAAAATTATTCTGCTTCCTTAAAAATCGTGTTCTATCTTCAAGCGTTTGTTGCATTCTTGATAAGAAATTTTTCCTTGCATTTATAACAATCGCTGTTATCTGATCTATGCTTCATAATTTTCGTAGGTTGCAAACAGTCCGCTTTCAGAGGAAGCTGTCCTAGCATTCGAGTATGGGATGAGCCTAAACAGTCCAAAAAATCTGGTCGTTTGGGAAGCACAATTTGGAGACTTTTTCAATGGCGCTCAGATTATCATTGACACTTTCATTACTGGTGGCGAATGTGAGTTGGTTTTTTAACATATCTTTATTTTTTGGCAGCTCTTATTTTAGATAAAATTGAAATGAGAATTCAAGAAATGAATTTTTAGCAGGTGTTTTGTTCGTGTAGAAGAAAGATCCACCAAGTAATGAAAGATTGAGATCGTGAGAAATTGAGATCGTGACTTAATCGCATGAGGAAAGTAGAATTGTAATGACACTTTCCAAGGCTACATATTATCGCGTCTTTAGAAAGGAGGGTTTCGTAACTAGCAGAGGGATTATCAGAATGCTGTTTAAATATTAAGGACGGTTTGAAATCTAAAGTGAAAGCGTGCGTTGCCTTTAAAGAGCAAACAAATAAATTGACTGAAACTGACAATGGCGGATCCTTTATTATTTAGAGCTATGATGTCAAAATAAGGTGAGGGGGGGGGGCGTGCAAGCTGAAGGTAAACGAATGAAAATGCAATAAAAGACTGCATCTTTCGTGGCTTTACAGGATTATTAATTTAAATAATAAATTTCCTTGCAGTGAAATGGATTTTACAAAGTGGAATGGTAATGCTCCTCCCTCATGGTTACGATGGTGCAGGACCTGAGCACTCGTCGTGTCGTTTAGAAAGATTTCTTCAAGTAAGGAATGTTTCAACGTCTTAGTATATGTTACAATTATATCACACAATCAGTTGAGTTTGACCGTCTTTCTTCGATCGCAATCTGGTTATTCATTGCTGAATTAGCTGTAAAGCGATTCTTTAATTATGGTCTTTACTAAATACATGGATTGGGGGGATGTGAAAGGATTGGGGGGAATGGCGGTAGAGGGAGAATGGAAGGGGGACGGTAAAAGGGAGGAGATGGAAGGGGGTGGATGGAAGGGGGAGGATGAGAAAAGAATTTTTAATCAAAACTACTTAAAAAGGCAGCTAATCATTTCGATATATTTCCATGAATTTCTCTTGCTTTTAAACGTTGACAAATGTTGGTAATATTTTGGTTTGGGAGGGCCAAGAAGAATCACAATTTTTGTGTAAGATTGTAGATCAATAGATATATGGCCCCATCAGCACGAATAAATCAAATTTAAATTATTATAAAGCAGCGAACTTTTATATTTTTCTTATTAATTTTGAAAAGTAGCAGGAAGTCCCTATCGTATTATTTATTCTTATTGTTTATTATCTTTTTTAGCTTTTCAATAATTCTTAATTTTCATTAAACATAGTTCTATTGATTTTTTTGTATTCATTTACCAAGATTTTATGCAACTTAATGTTTTTTAGCCTAAACCTAGTTATGATACCAAGCATCAAAAAACTGCTACAATGAAATGTAAACGCCACATATTCGTTCATGTTATCGAAAAACATTTGATCCGTGCATCATCATTGTGTTTTTTTCTTTCTAGCTGTCCGACAGTAAAGAAGACGCAGTTGACAGTGACAACATCAATTACGCAATTGCCAATCCAACAACACCCGCACAATACTTCCATTTGCTCCGAAGACAGGTGTGTGCCAGTTCTTAGAAGTTGGCTGACGTTATTATTCCGAGTCACTTTTTTAACAAAAGACCTGAGTAATTGATACTTTCAGACTCAAAAAGACTTTAAGATCAGCAACTTTCGCATTAAAGAGCCAGTTTCTTCTAAATCACGGGTGAAAATATCTTCCCGTTCCTTGTATGAATTTATCTATCAAGCTTTTGTCAAAATTTCCCTTATATCCTATCAACCTCTCATTTGCAGTGGGTGATTCTTTCAAATTCTTCCATTTCCATGTTCGCACACATGTCGCTGGTCGCTCTTTTTGTACGAAATCGAGAATGGAATTTCTTCGCGTCTTGTTCTTCTTGATGTTTCGGAGTGATTTGACGATTTAAGCAGTTTCCATCTCTTCAAAACAGTGTGTACAGCATTTTTGATCTCCTTGCTTCTATACCAGTAAATCAGGGGGTTCACAGAGCTGCAAGCATATACGAACACATCTGCCCATGCATCTAGAACATAAACGACGTTGACTTTATCCCCAGCTATTCCGCGAAACGCTAATAGCGGCAGCAACGGTAAATAGCATATTAGCATTACAAGGATGACAATGGCAATGGTATTTGTGTTGTTTTCTCTGTTGTCAACGCCCTTTCCTAAATGATTCTGCCGTGGCGTCTGTTGGTGAATACGTTTACGGTGGCTCAACACAACCGCAAAGATCTGGCCGTAGCAGAGAAGAACGACTGCTATGTCGATGCAGATAAGCACTGCAATGCCAATGAAGAACTGCGAGGCATCAAGAATGTTAGTAAACGGCATTGAAATGAACACCGCCCAAAGTATCCAATAAACAATAACAATCCAAAAGTACCGCGTCACGCTTGCGATATTAGCGTAGCGGAATGGCATTTTTATTGCAACGCACCTGTCGATACTCACCACAGCTATACTTTGTATCGAAACTCCGATGCAGAGGAACGCGTTGTAGGCACAAACCGCACGTATTTGGCAGTTATGCGCCCCGTTGGCCTCAAGCAATCTCCTTGTGATTGTTAACGGTTGAACAATTGCGCCAGTTATGAAATCAGTCACGCATAGACTGGCTAGTAGCAGATTAGAGGGCGTCTGTAGTCGTTTGAAATTCCAGAATACATAAAGCATTAACATGTTCCCTACAATTGCCACTGACGCCGTAAGGGCATTGAATATGGACGTCGCAATAGCGGAGGCAGTTATTGCCCTTGTAGGACTCGAAATCCGCAGCACCTCTAGAAAAACGCAAAACTCTTGTGCACTTGCATTCATCATGCACAGTAAACTTTCTATTGGTTTCCTAAGTATTCATTCTTCAAATAAAGCAAAATACTATAGTTTCGGTATTTGATAAAGCCACTGTTGGCTTCGTGGCTCATCTCTTATATCACTTCTCTTTACTTGCAGACAAATCAATGCTTCAATATAAGTCTTTTACTCAATCATTGATATATTCAGGCAATTTTGACTCTCCAGTTCAAGCTACTAAAGGTCTTCAATCCTTTTTTAGACTTCTCAGCTCCGTTCGTTTGACTAACTGTTTTGTTCTTCCACCAGAAAGCAATCTAAATCCAGATGACACAGGCTTTCTGTTTTCAATGCATCCACTTTGAATTGTGCTTCCTTCCTTCTACAGAAAGCTGTGCATCTGCCACGAGATCCTCTTGCCAAAAACCGTTTCTCGCCAGACAGCCCAGCTGTCAACAAGCTAGTTGTCAAGGTCAAAAGCGCTGTTCTTGCCTCGTTATTTGCCTTTAATCAATGGAATCCTACAAAGCATTAAGCTATTCTTTTGCAATCGCGATTCTTCACTGCTAATTGGTTGTCCTGTTTCTCGGATCAAAACAATAGATCACCGCTGGTCCACAGCACAACAGTTTTATACGCTACAAGCACTACTGGCGAACGTCACTGACGAGCGTCATTGATAAAAAGTCACAACGCGCTCCTAACGCCACAGCTAAATCTAATAGCTAGCAAACATTTGCTTGTGTCTTTGCCTTGCCATTTGTCAAATATTGAGCATTTTGCAGATGTTATTCAGATTTTAATAGACTACACCTTCACTTGATTAGGTATAGGTCGGTCTTTTTATCAAAAATACAAACAAATCCGTTAATCACAAGCTATTTCTTTGATTTTTGCCAATTATTCTCCTTGATTTATGCTTTTTGTGGTTTTGATGCACGGAAGGGATTTTAGAGAATAGAATTTGTAATGATCTCTAACAGATCACAAAATGCATGCTCTTGAAGATTATTCTTGTCAAAGTAATTCGTGTAGCTGTTATTTAGATCAAAATTCTTTTTGAAATAATTTCAGTTAATATCTCAATAAGACTAATCAGCCAGTAGTGAAAGTGGATAATTGCTTTTCCATTAGTTGAGTTACATAGAGTTCCCCTGCTCTGGTCCTTATCCAAGTCCAGTTTCTCTGTCTTTTTCTTTCTTTTGCATGTTTGAAAACGTCATACGCTACCTTGTTCAAAATTCTTCATCTCACAGAACTATTGTGCTTGGAAACCAAGAAACCTTAGCTTGATCTCAGATGTGCCAGTAAGAATCGACAAATGATGACACATTTTAAGAGTGAAAACAAATGATCGACTTCAGATATAAAAACTAAACGACATTTTGTTAAGAATATAAATAGAAGATGCAAGCCATTTTGTAATGAAGAGCTTTTGCTATGGCTAAATTTTGTATGCATGTGATGAAAAAAGACGCGAGCGTTTCAGCGCATCAGCCAGCATTTCATTTTGTGTATTTTACTAGAAAACCTTATAGATATGTAAGAAAACATTATTCCAATTTGCTTATGTCTGAAGACGACAATTCTAGCCATAGGTTCAAGTAGCATCAATGTTATTTATATTTCATATTTGTCTACAACAACCTGTGCTGTGATTTACGTTGTACTCTTCATTTATTAATCGGTTTTTGGCAGGATATTGTTTATATTTTGCTTTATTATTAAAGAACGTTTCTGGTCTCAAATGGCAACAATATAGACCATCGTGATATCCTAACGTATCATTTGTCCTGTTGATATACAATATTTAGATGAATTTAAACATTTATTACCAATTTTCGTATCGTAGATCATACGTGATTATCGAAAGCCTCTAGTTGTTGCTTCACCGAAGCTCATTCTTAGGATGCAGGTTTGTGTGGTCTCAATTTGATTTGATTAATTATAAGAAACCCACTAAGAACCTCTTCTTATAGTGGTTTTGTTTATCAATCAGTTCTTTTCCTTTTGCAATCTCATTATTTCTGTTTGACGTAAGAGTTTGATGTAACAGCATTGCGCAAAACAGCATTGCTCAAATCAGGATTGCGCAAATCAGCATTGCGTGGTGGCTGAGTTTTCCATGCTTTACGCATTCGTCGATGAGATGCAAAGCGCAAAACAGCCCAGAAATAATTTTGTTTTCTAGTGTGCGCCTTGAACTTATGCTAATGTGCTGATTGTACCGAAGTTTCAGTTTTAGTTTTATGATTTCCCTGCACTTTAACTCAGTTGTTTAAATAAATCTTGTTATGATAGAAGTCTTAGGTTGTGTTCAACTAACTTTATTTAAATTCAATTTATAATGCCATTATTCCAATCACTTTTTGCTCTATGTTATTAAATTCAACTTGACGCCAAATGTGTTAAACCAAAAACTTAATTGCAAGCAGCAACTGTCTTATCCATTTAATTGGAAAGCATGATCGTTTTGGGGAGATCTGTTGCCAATGTTTTACTCTTGAAAAGCTCTTTTATTTTTGAGTTGTCAATTTCAAATGCCAATTTAGAACAGACGCCTGAAGCCTACGGAAATTTTGTGGAAATTGCACCATGCAAATTTAGATAGCAGCACTTAAAAGGTGGAACGAAAGAGGAAAGACAATAAATTTAAAATTTTATAGAATCTGAAAGCGGATATTTTTATTACCAATAGCAATGAATTTTTTCAATTAAGCAAACTTGAGCTAAAAAAGAAAGTTCTATCCATGTGCTTGTACTATTAGTAAAGACTGAGCTCTATAACATACAGCAGATTCAAGCAAAGCTTGATTCCAATGGGAAACATTAACAATAATCTCTTGTTGCCACGGTAGAACATTTCAAGTATGGGATAATGAGTGATATCCTTATGTGAGCAGTTTAAAGGCAGTCTGTCCCCTCAATGATTGGCTAGTATGAACAATTTGATTACTGACTGACCTAGCTGCGGTACGACATTTGAAACTGCGAGCAAAAAGCCATCGGAAGTGACATGAAGATATCTTCACTGGAATTGAATGGTGATAATGGAAAATTTCCTTTCACTTATAATATATCTGTCGCTCAAACCAAACAGGGAACAAAATTTTCTAGCCACAGCTTTACCACCAGAGAGGCATTTGATTCAAAAGCTCTGCAATCAAAGTTGTCTATGATTGTTTTAAATCGTTTAATTATCGATCAAGCTCAACGATGAGTGAATTTCCCTCCAGTGAAAATAAAGTCCAGCACAATAGGGGACAGGCTGACTTTAAATCTGACACTGAATTTGATTTTTCAAAACAGACCATAAAAGACCAATAAAAATAGAATAGCCTCTTATCATTGCACATTGACCAGAAAAGTTTAATCTAATATCTGTAATCTACCTGGAATCCATAGTTAATCTTTTTCAAAATATTTGTCTTTAAGTAGCTTGTTCGAAGGAAAAGAACTAGTTTGGCTGCCCAATATCCTGGTTGATGTAATGAAACTTGTCGGAGGCTAACGAATTTATGCATTGTTCTCACAAAGAAGTTATATTTTTTGTTCATTTACCATATGTGAACTGTATTGGTTTCTAGGATCATCCGTTATGTATATAGAAGTAAAGCAATAAACATTCACTGCAATTACCTATTTCACCTTAAGTACGAAAAGGAATGAAAGAACAATTTGTCAAGACTTCGCAAATTTGTGAGAATTCGCACAATAACACTTTAATTTTAAGCGTTTTAGAGGGCAATTGCTCGAAGAAACCATCACCATTTTGTGTCTTAGTTAATTAAATCTACTGTTGATTTACAAAGTTACAGATAAAAGAGTTCGAAAATCTAAAGTTATAAAAAATTTCCTGCCTAAACAGATTTTGCCAAAATTAACTATTTGAAACATGTTGCCTGTGTAAATTTGTTAGTAAAATCTGGCTGATGACAAAATAATTTAAAGAAGTTGTTTTCTATCCATCTAGGCTGCCACTTCTTCCATCAGCGAAATGACAGAGAACACCTTTTTCAAGACAGTTCTTGAAGATACATCTAGCAGTGCTGCAGACGTAACTAAAATGATTTTCTGTAGCGGAAAACACTACTACGCCCTTGACAAGGAGAGAAGAAACCAAAATATAACCAACACTGCCATTATCCGGATAGAAGTACGTAATATCTAAATATTCAGCATATATAGCTTTCTACTTTCATAGAGGGGAGTGCACACAATTTTTCGGTGAGGCTTAATTTAATCTTCAAAACCGAGGCTGTATTGAGCTAAAGATCAATTTTTTTTAAGAATGCCATTAATGCACGTGTTTTGGTCCTATCGCCTCGCTTCCTATAGGTTTGATTGTATTATCGAGCTTAATATTGTCGGAAGTTTGTCGTCACACAGTTTAGGCCTCATCACCACATTCCGGTTCAAGAATTCATTTTGCAACTTCATACCTGCTGTAGCTGCAGAAGACTCGTGTTTTTTTTCAGTAACACATTCAATGCTGTTTTTGTTTTGTAGGAACTAGTGCCATTTCCTGCTGAACGTTTAAAGGAAGAGTTGAAGAAGTATCCTAATGCAAAAGGTAGGTATCCTGTTGATGTTCAGTTTGGCACATTCCAGTTGGCGGGTGAAATTCATAAAATGCCTTCGACGTAATCTGAAAACTGAGATTTATTAACCGTAGGAACCGTAGGCAATTTAGTCTTTAATCAGGTCTTAACAAGACAGGACATCTCAGCAAGGCTAGGCCCTCTGCAACATGGTGGATGCAACATTTCACAAAATTTTGAGACTTTTGCATTAATTCAAGTTTTGTTGTTATTATATATTATTTAGCCTGCGCGCAGCCTCAGACACCTCTATCACGAAGAGTAGAAGTATCTGAGGCTGCGCGCAGGCTAATATTATTATGATTATTGTTAACTTAATAATTGGCTACCATTGCTTCCAGTTGGTAGTTGGTCTTCATAACAAGGATTAACAATTTAAAAAGATATCGAGCCAGTTTTATTATTTGATTTTTCGTTTCTATTATTTCTCTTTTCTAAGCCTTTTAGGTACTGTGAATTGCTATCACTAATTTTTTTGTCATTGAAGTTATTCCCTTTTTAATTTTTTTGTTTAGAAGACAGTTATTTTAATGAATGGATTATTTTTTTAGATTTCTTGTGGTGCCAGGAAGAGCATAGAAACATGGGTGCATGGTCATTTGTTAATCCAAGGTTCCAAAACATATTAAACTTAAAGGTCAGTCAATATGCAATGTTTTAAAGTAAATAAAATAATTTAATGAAGAAACAAGTAAGTTAGGAGCATTTCCAATTGCTTTTAAAAGCCTACATTGCCTCGTAACTATGATAGCTTTGAGCACGATCTTCCAGTTTTGATAGCGCCAAACTTGCGCTACAATCACGCATATTGTATTTCAAACCATAGTCAATAGAAAAACTCGAAGAAATTCTATCTATGGATATATGTTTGATCAGAAATTTTTTCAAGATGCATGACAATCCTTTTTTCTCTGCAACAAAGGCCAGTCTCGTATAACTACACCTGTCTTCTATTATGAGCACCTTGAGCTGTTAGCTCCTTTCTTTTGCCATCTCATATGAAATATTGTCTATCTTACGAGATGTTGCTAATCTTCTATTTTTAACGCATATCTTCTGCTTTAAACGCCTATCCTCTGCCTTGTGTAGTATCCGCGTATCTGCGTTAAACGCCTATTTGCTTCAAACGGCTATGTTCTGCTTTGAAATCCTATCGTCTGCTTTAATCGCCTATCTTCTGTTTTGAAGACCTATCGTCTGTTTTAAACGCCTATCCTCTGCCTTGTGTAGTATCGCCTATTTTCTGCTTTAAACGCCTACCTTCTGTTTAAACGCCTATCGTCTGCTTCAAACGGCTACCTATTTTATTCCTATGTTCCTATATTTTCTACTGTCAACAAACACTTGTCTTTTGGAATGTCACAATCTTGTGCTGTAAGCTACTTAAGTTATTAGCCCCTCTCTTTTGCTTTCAACTATACCAAGCTCGCGATAGGCGTCCCAAGCACCAGATGGCGATATTACATAAGTTCTTAATAACACTTTAAGTGTATAGAACAGGACGATTTTATATTATAAGTTCTTAATATTACCTTTATCTATGGCACCGAAAGCTCTACAGAGATCGGACGGCTATCAGATTTAGCATGTGGAATTAAAACCTGTCTTGTCTGACCTTGATGATTGCGCATTTTGCGGTTGGCCTAGAAGTAATCCAAACCATATAGCAGGCAGACGAATTATGATTGGAATCCGCAAGCGATCACCCAGCACGAGACCTGTCTCATTTTTCCTGCAAACACACACGAGTTTTCAAATCCATTATCAACAAAAACCAAGTAATCAGTGATTGTTAAGAAAGAAGGATTTCTGAAACAGAGTGTTTCTGTTTAAGTTGGGTTCAGTTTTTCTGGAATCTGTCTAGATGCGCGTCAGACAGTTTTTGATAACTTAACTACTCGCATTTCTGTTTTCAAGAAACCGTCTATAAGAAACCAAGTCCTAAGATGATAAAAATATTAGGAAACCATAGCTATTAGGCATGTTTCCTGTTCAATTGGCATATATAATACAAGGAAGAACATTTTTCGACTGGTTTGGTGTACTGGTTAATGTTATCTTATATTTCTTTTTTTCTGTTTCTAAAAGGTCCAATCACTGCCAAAAGTCTTGTAACACTAACGTAGGTTTTCAAAGGCAAATTCAGCCACCCCCCTCTCCCCCTAGGAATAATGTTGATTTACTAAAGAAAAAGAAAGGGATTACGGAGTACGCTTTTTCTTTTGGCTTGTTTGATATTTTTCTATAAATTCAACATTGTTTTTGGGGGGAAAGGGGACGGAAGTAGTAGTAGAAGGGAAAACAAATGTAAAATAGAAAAGCACAGCGCAAAGTGTTGGGTGTTCCAAGTAATTTTGGCAGTGATTGTAGCTCTTTAGCAGTTAGTATTTATGAAACTTTTAAGATCCTTTTAGTAACTCTAAGAATTTTAATAAACCTTTAAATTAAAGTCAACCAAAAGTGAGAAGTTATTAGGTTCTTGAAAAATAGAATGTTTTACTGCCACAACAATTGTTTTCCTGCTTATTTAATCACTTGCTTCGCTGATCGATAATATTTCACGTATTTTGATAAAAAAATTAGAAAGGAATGTGTTTTGTTGGTCCGCTTCCACGCAGCACCCCATTATTTCGCTTGAACAAATCCGTCTTTTCATTCACCTGAAGTTCCTTTGCGATAAAAAGCTGTTGCAGTTCCTCCTTTTTTACTAAGCCTGTTTTGGTACCCAACCTTTTGCCACTTTTGCTAATGCTAGCTTGTATGCTTCTTTAACCTCAAGTACCGAGCAGTGGCTAGGTTATGTCACTATTCTGGAAACAGAACTTTGGAATTGATAAATCTAGTATGTAGCTTGGAGAAGATTTGACCCAATGACAGGCCCAAGAAAAGATGGAAGTTAAGTTTTCATATGTTTTCTCTTGCCGTCGAGATCTAAGGGTATGAATATGATTGCACTCTATTTTAGAGGCCATCGTATTATCAGGAACTTGCTGTTGCTTCCGGGTCTTATCACTGCCTGTCTTTCTGTAGCTGAATCTCATTGTTTTTGAGTTACCTGTTTTCTGTTTCTGTTTTTTAGCTGAAATATTGTGGGAGAGACGTGCTAGGCACACCTGCTGTCGGTATTGGCTCTCGGCATTCCGAAGACGCAGCGAAGGTTCTCAAAGAAGCATTCCAGCAGTAAAAAATGGATTGTTATTTAATATTGTTTGTAATAGTCTATGCACGTTGATTGGTATTTTCATTCACTGTTGTCCGGTGCACACGGATTTTTTTTTCAATTTCTTTCAGGCGGAAAAGTTACCCTTCATGATCCCAACTTTTCGTCCTGTATTTAGTTTCGTCCTGATTTATTCAACCTAGTTCATTAAGCATGAGCCATTTTTACAAAGCATTATAGCTTAACATACATGCTGCCATTTTGAAGGAATATTTGAAGTTTCGAAAGAGCTCAAGGAAAACGCTATCGCTTCATATCATTTTGTTTGAATTCCTTAGCTATACAGCAGATTGACTGTTTGTTTTAGGAGTCGTACTCAAATGGGGTTTTTCTGTTAGCCACTAATAAATCTAAAATGATCATGAAACTCGACCTATCTGATTCGTCAAATGATGTTCGCTCAAGATTTGTTAGAGAATTTGATGGTTTGTTTGTGGTATGAGTCTTGTACGACTTCTTAACTTTATTCTTATTTTCACTAGTGCCTTGTTATTTTGTTATAATTTGCCCACAGTTAGCTTGTAGATTTAAATAACCATAATTTGTCCACTCACAATGTAGTTCAGGTGTTATGTTTGTGAGTAGTAATTTTGGAGTCACCAGGCTGAGAGAATATATCTCACCCTTCTCCAGCGTCTAGGATTTAGAAATTATTGTATTAAAATCTTGATGTAGTTGATCTCATAAAGCGGGTTATCATTATAGTTCAGTATTTAATAGTGAAAACAGGGTAATTTAGATCTCGCAATCGATTTACATTCCTCGTGGATTTTTGTAGTTTTAAACAATTTAGTTTTTGACAATCTAGATTTTGCGTTTTATTATGAGTTTTGGACTAAAGCAAAGCAGCTTATCTTTTCATATTCTGCTATCTTCTAAAGCTACTAATTATTTCTGAGAACAAAGACTCTCAGTTTTCCAATTTACTTTCAGGGCTGTTGCTATGGAAGAGGGGCGTATGGGGTGTAACAACCAAGGCGTTTTTCCCAATCTAGAAGTGCTTTATCTGCGAATTTTCAAAATTGTCGTTGAAGAAGGTGACTCGCGCACTTGTCGGCAAATGGGACCTGGGCATAAGCTGCGCACAGACTCAACTGGTTTTCCCAGAGACGAACTTAGTTGAATGAAGAATTTTGGGTTTCTGTCGCTGATTCGGGGACTCTACGAGCAGTGGCGGCGCCAGCTATTACAGAATGGGAGGGTAATGGGCGCGGCCAGTGGGACCACGCCCCTTTTGCCTCGTTTCAGTGATTTGTACGAAGTTAATTTTCCTTAGAAAATTTGTTCTACCCCTACCCAGCGTTTTTTAATCCATTTTTAGAAGAAATATGTAGAATATATTTTCAGAAAAGTGGGGGTAATTACCCCTCCCCATACCACCTCTTGGCGCCGCCAATATCTACGAGAGAAACCATAAATTTTCCATTCAACTAAATTCGTCACTGGGAAAACCAGTCAATTGCGCGCAGGCTAGATCTGGACACCCCAAATAGCTAACGGCGGTCATGCTTCCTCTATCTTCGTCGTGAGGGGCATCAAAACATCGTTATGTCAACCGAAACTTGTTTAACTCAGCTATTATTATAGAGCAATTTGTTTAAAATTTTGCATTTTATCTTGCTAGGATAAAGTTAAGGATAAACTTCACAGAAAATCATGTACTGATGTATAGTCACGTGATTGTAGTTCAATTTAATCTTTTTTTGTCGGTACAGAACTTGAGAATGGCTTTGAAAAAAGCAAACATTTTACAACATATTAGCTAAAAGCTTTTTTGTCTGACACTCCTCAGAGCAAAAAACGTTAGAATCAGGGTCCGAAAGAACACGATAAAAAATATATACCCAGCTCTAGATCGAAATAGGCCATTCAGAAAAATGCAAGCACAAGACCGGTAGTGTGATTCTCGCTACATAGGACGCACAACCCAAAGATTGGGGGGTAGGATAAAAGAGCATGTTCCTTTCAACATAAGAAACATAACTGCCCCTCAAAGAGAACAGCCTCCTCGATCTTGTAGATCTAGAAACACTGTTAAAACAAGTGATTCTGCCATCGGTCAACATCTTTTAGACAACCTAGATTGTGCTAAACCCTTTAATGACGACATGTTTTGGATAATTTGCAGAGCCCGGTCGTCTTTCCATTTAGCAGTTTTGGAATCAATCTACATACAAACGAAAAAGCTGCCATTGTGTAGACAGAAGAATCTTGTTTTCTCTCCTGGACTACAGAGGTAATTTTTTTAGGCACGCAGCACTGATTGGTCAACTATACCGGTCTTGTGCTTGCGTTTTTCTGATTGGCCTATTTCGATCCACAACTGGGTATATATTTTTCATCGTGTTCTTTCGGACCTGTATTCTGACGTTTTATGCTCTGAGGAGTATGTTTGCTTTTTTCAAAGCCATTTTCAATTTAATCATTGCCCCCACCCTCCACCTCCAAACTGCAAATTCTGGCTTGATTTCTCCTCCGTTTTTCCAACGCGGCAACGTGAGTCACTGGAGGGCGTATGTTGATTCCAGGTTTTTGTCGATTGCGTCATGAAACATTCTTTGAGTCTTTGTCTGTGAAAATGTTTTTGAACAGAGTCATTGCATTCTTTTATAAGTGACGTTAAAATACGAACACTTATTTCAATTTTCTCAAAGAGTCGTTGCCGCAATCGTCGTCATAATAGGATCGATTTCTAAATATGGTAATTATCGCCAACAGAATGTCTAGCCTAAGAGTAACATGGACCTCTAGATCCAGTCGCTTTTCTTGTTAATCTTTAATAGAAACTTTATTACTTCTCCTAAATATTTGATTTTTTTAAAATTCACAAGTTGACAGATTTATAAGTTTGAATAGTACTTACTTAAAATATGTCTTAAAAGATCTTTGCGCAACCGGCATGCTTTGCGACTATATTTTCAAAATAGACCTAATAGCCTACTACATGAAATTACAAAATACAGGCCATTTCATCTCGGGTAGCATAACAGCTACCGCAAAGCATGCCGGTTGCTCAAGAGCCTTAAAGTTGATTGGAAATTTGTTTCGAAAAGTTTAAAAAAGAAAACAGAAATCTAGCTATGGCACTAGCATATTGCAATGCCTCGATTTTTGAGTTTCAAACTTAGTGTAATGATTCTTTCTTTATAACCTATCTTTTGCTCGGTATAATTAACCATATAAATGTTGCTATAATTAGTTTAAATGCCTTCTTGGCCTAGAAGCCTTGATTTTTAAATAGAAATATTTTATAAAACGCAGTCTAGAGATTTAGAGGTGTAGGGGAGGCAGAGACGAGAGGGAAGGAGTGCTACCCCCAAAATAATTTAAAAGAGACTTTGATGAAATGAAAATTTTCGAAAATGTAGATCAATTGCTAGAAATTGCTTTTCTCTATTAGGGTGGTTCTTATATATTAGGGCCATAATTATACTATCACAAGAAATAAATACGATATCATACAAAGGGCCGCCGAGAGGTTTCTTAAGCCCTGGGACAAAACTGAAAGACCAGGCTGAAGAAAGCAGAAAATCCTTGCGAACAACCCCTTTAGAATAGCTTAAAATGCATTTCAGAATATTTCATGGGATCATTTTCTTGCAATTGCTTAAAATGCATTTTAATTCATTACAATTAAATTCATGACCTTATGTAGCCCTCTAGACCTCAGCCACAAAATAGAAAAAACGACTTTTCTCTATTCTGTGCCTCAGCCCTTGGGGCAATTCTTCCAATCCTACCATTCCGGAATTTAGACTTGGTAGCCTGGCGATGAGGAATGTAGGTTAGGCGGAAAGACACCAGTCGGAAGTGGCTGTGATCAAGGTTTTTGTGATCGCCATTTTGTGATGGGAGGATATAGCAACAGTTGCTCGCTAAAACCATATCTAAGTCACCTATTATAGTGTTGTAGCGGTGTCTGGCTTTAAACAACTGCTGTCAAGAATTTATGGGAGCTATTTTGTTGTTATAATGCCATCGTTGTTCGATCAAAGCGACCCTCGAGAGTCATGGTAGGCCGACGTTGATTGCTTTTAATTCCCCCTTTTATCGTGCAACGGAGAATTTCATTATACAGCTAAAAGGAGGCAGTATCAAATTATAACGTATTAACTTTTGCAAAGATGTTAGCTTCGTTGACTGCAAGCCGTACATGGCAGCTGAACATCTTTGTCACCGACATGAATATGTCGAGGTCAGTAGAGGTGAATGGCCAAACTCATGTCGGGCAAGTCATCCTAGACTTGGTGGAAAAACTCGGTGAGTAGTATTTTTTAGATATTTTAATCCTAGAGATTTTGCTTTTCGATCATTCTTTGATGATTAAGATGGATTTTGTTGTTATGCGTTGAACGACAGCAGACAAGAGTAATCATCACAACGGGTGATGATATTGTGAAATGAAAAAGGAAAAACGTGTTTTACATTGTGTTTATACATTTTATATCATTGCTTTGATTCTAGGTGATATATCACACGTATTTGTCATGAATCGATTTTCTTCATTAGAAATTATTGTCGGGTCATTGAAGTTCAGATACGCGACCAGTGAAAAAAGTTGTTCTTGGTTGCAAATTGGTCAATCAAACTGGCGGTTTTGTAGATACTGTGAAAATGCATAAAACTAATCATAAATATGGAAACTCCCCCTAAAAGAAGGGACTTGGGGGTCCGCTAGCACTAAAAGCACTCAGGACAGAGTCAAATTATTGACTCTTCGACCGAAATTCCTAAACAAATACACCGGTCGTGAGAATCGATGGTTCAATACCAGTTATTAAATTAACTGACAAAGGGACAAGATGTCACTAAATATTTTTCAATACGTGAATATAAGGCATAATCCCGCATTGAAAACTTCATATATTTTCCCTTCAATTTCTAGTCCGTGAAAATCTTCTAGAGAAACACTGGTTGGCTCAAACTGAGAAAGTTTAAAGATGGTCCCCACCCACTCATTGCCATTTTTCAGGAAATCATCCACAGCTTTAAAAATAATCTGCTCAGTCATGAACACTGGTTGAAAAACATGTTGCAGCAACATGTTGTGGGTTTGGTTTGAATGCATTGGAGTCTGTTTTGTCTTTCTTTTGATCTTCACTAAGTGTGCAAGGCTACCTCCAAATGGGAGGTGGTCATAGAGACAAAGCATCATGGTTTCCAATAACCTTTCGAGAAAAAAATTCGAACCTGCATTGAGAGTGGTGTAAATTTTTTCTTTATTGATAACACCAAAAAGAGAATGAGATGGATTAATTGAGATTTTTTATCTGAGTCAGGAGCTTAAATTTAAAAAGAAAAGTGACCCAAGAAAGAACAGAGAAACTTGGACAAACTTCTTGGGATTGAATTCCCAACTACTTTTTTCTTTATTTTTTTGAATTGGACAAGGTGCCTTTCAAATTTTTTGCTAACTTTGTTGCAGAGATATACTTCTTGGCTCATAAATATCAAAATACATTAGAAAAATCAAAACTTTTTGGATATTAGCAAATTAGCAAACCAATGCTTATTTGAAATTTTGAAATTGAAATCAAAACTTGAAGAAATTTGGCTGCAAAGATGTTTTAAAATTCCAGTTACCATTCATCGAAGCCATATTTTCATTGACTGTGTCAAGCTTTGCTAGCTGTCTCAAATTCATTTTATGATTTTAATTTATTCAAAAGGATTTTCAGCACAGTTTTCTAAATTCTATACCACAAAATCAAATACAAAACATATATATATGCTGTATTATTTCTAACCAAAGTTATTTGTTTTGGTGAATTCTATGCTTTAAATTTTAAGTTAATGAAAAGTCTATAATTCTTGAAATAGCATTCCAAATCTAAGTTTAGAGCATTCAAATACATGTTTACAGAATTGTATGTTGAATGGGCAGGGATAAGTTTCACACACAAAGTGGTTAACTCACCCTACAAGATTACAAAGCCGGGTTGTTATCATGGTAGCTTGCAGTGACCTCATATCTAGACATCTTCAAACCTCTTGGTCCCCTACATCCCATTCAGCTATTCACTCCAGTTTTCAAGATCCTCTCAACAGCCTCTTCAATATCTGTCCACATTGCATATCATAGCAAAATATATTTCTTGGTTTATGTTATCTACAGCAATCATAGAAGCAGTTCCCTACTGGTAGTTCTGTCAGCCAATCTGATGCCACATACATCTTCATTATATTTTCTTTATTCAGTGCTTACTGTTCTTTTCAGGTCTTCAGGTTGAATTCTTCTCTCAGGTCCCCTTACTTACACTCTGAGTCCTTGCTGTAATTGATAATAACTCATCCACCATTGCTGCTTTCAGTTTCTCATTCCCAACTTTTTCCCAAGATTTCATTTTTCCAGTGTTAATGACTAGCAGTGGTAATGTCTTGGTATCAACATGTTTTTCTTGGAATTTCCCTAATACCAATGTCCATCTCTCTATTTGATTGACAGATTATAAGGAAAAGTATATGATATTTTTTAAAGTGAAAATTAACTGTTGCAATAAAATTTGCTATCTTGAAAAATGGGGAATTTTCCTCATACGGCAGGTGTTTTTTCAGAAATAATAGCTTTGCCAAAATCCTTGTATTTGATGAGCCATATGAGGTGTTTTTTAATTGCCCGTAGGGGTAAATGTTTGCTCATTTTGACATAATCCTTCTTGAATTGAAACCACTCCACAAAAATCTGGACACCTTTGGCAAAAATCCTTTCGTTTTTGAGAAAAACCCACCAAAAATCCCCCAAAATCCTTTTGTTTTAAAAAATCTCTTTGCTGTTTGAGAAGAGTGAGACACCCCTTCATTTAAGTAGTTTGCCTTGAAACAATCACTTTTCTATCCGTTACAGTTTCAGTTTGAAAATTACTAGGCAAATTTAAGGGCAATCTTGTAATTCTTCAGCCTTTTGAAGAGTTTTCATACCCAACACCATTGTGTTTTGACCTGAATTGACCACATTATAATTCTTTCATTTTTATCATTTCAGCCAGTATTGTTTTTTCTGAATCAGATTTAGCATTGTGTTGCTTGCACAAAGATTGCTGTTGTGCTTTTCTGTTCTCATAAATATTTGTGCTAGCCTCGCAAATAAGGTGATTGAAAAGAGAAAATATTTTCATATGATTGTTTAGAATAATTGTGGGTTTTGAAGGGCACCTTCTGCACGCTATAAGAATCCCTAGCATGAACCTTAGTATATCTGCTTATCCGTTCGTGAAAGGAAATTAAAACCACGTACTCTGCTGAATAGGAAGTGTTTTATGAATTGTGGCCTATTCTGATCTTCAAAGAATGAAAATTCATGGAATTTTACGCGTGAAAGAGCCTTCCACTGTACCATTTGTATTCTACGTCTGCCCAATGCTCTCTTGATATTTGTAATTCCATACACTCGAAGGTTCTTAGAGCAGGCTTTGCTTCGGCGTTGCGTTTTGAAAACGAAATTTCATAACTATGCCTGTTTAGGTTTCAAAACGTAAATTTTTTAAAGTAATTTTGACTTTGGAAACAGAGAAAAAATACGGAAGCAAGTGCCTTGGGTGGTTTTCAGTTCGCTTGTCCCCCGAACCCCCATCCCCAACATCAGACAGTTCAATTTCTACTACTGCTGCAATCAATTCCTGTCGGGTGAGATGGTCCTTGTTTTATCGCTAGCCATTGAAATTTCAAACTAGAGATACGCCGTGCTAACATCTAGTTATCTAACAATAAAAGTTCCGTTTTGTTTGGAGAACTTCTTCGATATTGCTGTTGAACTAAGCTGTTCTAAGTATTTAATCACCTGGACTTTTTCTGCAATTTCTAAAGAGATTTAAGAAGCTCTACCTGATTGTCAATAGAAGCATATCAGCTTTTTCTAAGTTGAATTTAAGAACAAAGCTGCCTTAGTGTATTTGCCGTTGTTTTTGTGTTTTTTGAGGGTTTTATCTTTGATTTTAAAGGAAATAAGGGCGTTGTCGTAATCTCAATCATATTTTTTGCAAACGAATTTTTCTGAATCAGTGAATCTGGCTCGCTATTGTCATGTGGTAGTCACGTGATCAGTTAATCATTGAAAGCCACGAAGCGCTCTACTCGCCTGCGCGCCGGACCCCAATCTCGACAAGCGCATTTCTCTTTAAATGCTTTTTAAGATACCACTCTTGATATTGACTTAAACCCGTTTGATATTATATTGGTAGGTGATCAAAACCCAATTCGTTCCGCACACACTAATTGGTCCTAAAGATTAATTTTGAAATCCTGAAGAACTTTTGATTTGATCGATTTTGTTGCCAGTTTATGCTTGCCTCTTGTTTGGGATGATGCAGGGGCAGTATAGGTATTGGTCTGCAGACGATTGGCTCCTTCTACAGGCTTTTGGAGCCACATTAGATTTTTTACACTAGCCATATAAATTTCCTTTTTACCGAGCAGTCCTGTACAGATACACAGCCTCGAACACTATCTGCCTGTCCGGTTAAATACGAATTTTCATTATATTTCCCGTTTAGATGTGGCCACTGACTGGTCGGACCATGCCATGTGGCATCCGGAAAAGAAGCTATGGCTGCTCAAGCCACGTGTTACACTAGAAGCCTATGGAGTACTTGGCGATTGCTCACTACAGTTCACCCCTGTTCATAAAGTACTGAAGTTGCAAATGCCCGATCTGCAAGTTGTCGATATGAGGTTGAATTTTTCATTTACTGTATTCCATGCAATCAAGGAATTGTGCAGCGACTTCGGAATTAGACACCCGGAGGAGATGTCGCTTTTGAAACCAGCGGAATTCACCCCTCGACGAAAAGATAAAGGCAAATCTACTAAGAAAAAAGAAAGACGAGGATCGATGGAGTCATCGGACACAAATCTTTCATCAGGAAGTATCGAAAATGGCCGTTTGTCAGCCGAGAGACAAATAAGTACAGGCAGTGTAGGAAATCATGCACCGAGTAGTCCTGGATCCCCGAAGTCCGTTGTGAGCTACAAGAGCTCAAATTTCTCCTTCTCTGAACCTGATAGTCTTAACCCTTACTCGACATCGCTATCACCGATGTTGGCCAACAGCCCGAATGCACCAAACCATGATGCTTTGGAATACATGACCCGGCCTAGGACAATCCAGGAACGATCCGGATTAAATATAGGGTATGTTTATATTGCTTTTCGTTTCCAGTTTACGTCAATAGGGTTTTTAGCCAGTGTGAGTGTGCAGCTGCTGTTTTTACCACAATGTCGTTGAATTGAATCATCTTACAACGTGGCTGCTTACGATATTCCTAAGATTTTTGTGAGCCCTATTCATCCTCACTTTGATTAACCATAGCAGATCTGAATTGGTTGTCGCAGTTTAATAATTTGCGGTGGCATTGTTATAATTATGTTTTATCTGATCAGTCTATTCGACTAGCTTCAAAGGAGGCCATTTTTGGCCTAAATGATTTCCTTCAAACACTCATCTTGAATCCAATGGAAAAAACTTGAAGAATTTATTTGCTCTTTAGTTTTGATTTGTTGTTTGGTTGTATTTTTCTTTTAACAGAGCTATGAGTCAGTATTTTGTGTAATATATGAATTTAGCATGTTTTGATTTGCATCTTTGCCCTGCCATTTTATCTATCGTTCTTATCTTCCACAATTCAACTGTTGATTAATTTAACATTGCAGATCTATTAAAAAGGAATACGTATTACTCTACCGATCTCTGTTTAAGCTAGCTGTATCCTCCGGAGAAATTGTTTCACTATTCCACACCAACGCACGTCTCTAAAAGGTCTTTTTGAACGAAAGCCTTGAGGGATGTCTGAATTTTCCTGGTGGTAAACCACCCTTGAGCATTGTTTATTGTAGGATTTGAAATTTTTAGTTTGGAGAGCACAAAGTCAGATATTTATAAGAAAAGTTATGCCTTTGTAGTAATTTCAGTAGAGTAATTTGTAGGCTAAAATATGATATAACTTTGCTTTTCTGTGTTATCTCCTCTAGTATTTATGTTTTTCTTACAATGTTTAGATTATTTCTTTCAGTTGGCTTGATTCCTCGAAATCTTTGATGGAACAGGTGTGTTGATCATTTTTACCTTTTTCTAATTATTAATTCCCATCCTTTTATTATCAAGCTTAATTTTCTCTGGTATTATGGAGTCTTTTCACGGTCTTGCAAAGTTTTTTGCAAACGAGTTCTGGCTTGCTATGGAATGTTATCCTTTACAATGCTAGCTTAATTCAGAAACTATTCACCTTGAGGGGAGCCATTTTATTCGCTTCTTCCCCTTGTATCCGGGTTGTCACAGAGATCCGAACTGTTTCGAAGTTTGGCTTGAACTGAGGGGAGAACAGCACTCTGTGTCAAACATGCGCCATTCATGTCTAAAATAAATGGTTTTTTGTCGGTTATTTGTTGATCTGACATCTTCTCGGAATTTTCCTCATTATTCGCGCATCGAAATACCCTCAGTAACATAATAGGTTTTGTTAATTGAGAACTTTTCGTGTTCCCACTGTCTTATTTGAAATGATCAAATTTGATGTAAGTTTCATTCAATCTTAATCTTCCAATAAAACCGTCTGTAGGGATCTGTTTTGATTATCAACACTGTAACATTTATTCATAGGACATCAAAGAATTCGACTATCTGATCTTCAAGTTCAAGTTTTTTAATTTCTTTGACATCAATCAGAAGGTAAGAAACGTTTAGAGGATTTTCTGGTGTGGGCCTCCGGGATTAGAGTAAACTTTATTCAGTGTTAAATTATTATTGTCTAGATGTGAAAAGAGTTTAGTCTCGCCAATTTGCGGTTTTCTCGTTTTCTAAATTAGTTTCATAGTTGAAATTTTTCTTTGTATTGAATTAAAGTAAGAAATTTACTGACTTGCTTACTGTGGGTGGAACTCGACAGGATGTTGAGTTTCCCTGTGTTCTTGGGTGCAATCACTTCAACCAAATTCTATTGCCAGTGCACAAGAATTTTAGTTTACTTACTTTTATTTACTTTCTGGGAATTTTTTAGATCGACGAGGTACGAATCAATCAAATTTACGAGCAAGCAAAATGGCAGATATTAACCGATGAGGTTGAATGCACCGAGGAGGAGGCTATCACCTTCGCAGCTCTTCAGTTTCAAGTGAAAGCTGCATCGCAGTCACCGCAAAGCAACCAGAATGCGGATGAAGTTGATGACATTGATGCTGCGTTGAATGACTTACAGGTAGGTTTGTGGGCTCGCAATGTAAAAACTTTGCGATTTCTGATCGGGTTTAGTTGCCGACTCATTTCTTCTACCTACAAAAAAGTTTTCTTTATAAACTTAAAGTATTTCCCACATCTATGACTTTTAAATATTTTTTCGTTAATTCTCACCCGGAAGTATAAAAATTCATCGTATCATAACAATTTATCAAATAAACTTGCTCACATCATTGGACAATAAACACAGCACAGGCTGATGATATTATATTGTTAATCTTAATGAAGCAAATTTAAGCATTTTCCCGACATTTGTTTTGTCAAAAGGCTTCCAAATCTATACTCAGAAGTTGAACAAGATTGATCAAAGGAAGGATGATCTACAAAATTAGTCATTATTTATCAGTCGACACCCCGTATATGGTTAAGAACCGACAGTTTCTGTAAGCATGCGCTGAAAGCAAGTTTTGCTTATTTCAAATCACAATAATGCTCGAATCTGCTGTTTAGCTGTGAATGTGTCTGCACATTTCATAATTTTAGTTGTGAGCTTCCCCATTTGATTGATGTTTGACTGTTATTTATTTAGATGTCTTTAGAAGGAACAACGACAAAAAACCAAGGATCAAGTAAACCTGTAAGTTTAAATCGAATAAAAACATTATATAAATGATTTTGTTTCAATTATATAGATATATACATCAAGAGCAAGTATTTAAGTATTCATGTCATAGATTTCTGGCCGATGACATCAGTAAACAATCAAGTACTAATGAGTTATATATCATCTGCTCACACTTTGCCTTTTGTTTGATCTTCAGAACGCAATATGATTTTTCGTTTTTCCGGCATATGTTATTAAATATATATATGGTTTATGACTTCACCATTAACTGATTTGCCATTTTACTTATTATGATTTTGATGTTGAGTATGGAATGCAATAATTCTGTATGGCAAAATATTATTTTTGCTTCAAACTGGTTTATCTCCAAGCGATGTTTGCATTTCAAGAATAATCTTTTTATTCAGATCTCCAATCATGTACGCTGCTCTTTTCTCGTTTTAGAGTTTGACTCAAATCCCAGAAATGAGTGACACGCTCAACTTAATTAAGTAAGTTTTCACAGTGTCTTTTTTATCTCGTTTTTAATTTTTGTTTTTTTCTACATATTTTTTTCTAAATTACTTAATATTATTTGAGTTTCATATCAACTAGAAATATTGGAAAGATTTTTTTGCCATTTCATTATTTGGGTAAATTTTCATTTTTTGATGCTTAATGTTTAACAAAAATTATATTTTTATATAATGCTCTTCCCTTTACGATTAACAGGTCAAAGAAGCTGGGAATGAAAAGTGTGAAGCCTTATTGGTTTACATTTAGAGGTAAGGTTTTGCATGTATGCTTTGGATTGGTGGAAACAACATCCTTTTGTGCCAGGGTACCTGCTTTTTGCGTGAAATCACTGCCAAAAGGCCTGAAACACCAACGCCATTTTAAAGGTCGAATTCAGCCACCCTCTCTTTTCCCTGCAACATTGTTTGTTTTCCATAGAACGACGTATTTACTATAAAACTGGGGGTAGGATGTTAATTTTTGCAAAACGCAATCTACTCACCTTAATTTTCCTTCACGTGACTGGAGGGTTACGATGAGATAGGCTGTAACACGATAAGTAAACGGGGCCGGTTTTCATATTCCTGACCTCTATTCCTCTTGATTTATCTCTTTTTTCTTGTTATCTCTATAAAGCTAATTTAAGAATACAGAGTGTTAAGATATGAAGTTATTTAGAACTGTCTTTATATTTCCCATAGACACCCACATCATGTATCATAAAAGCCAAGACGAATGCCGAGGGCCACCGATCTTGAAATTCAATTTGAAAGGTACGTAGCACTTCTGTATAGCCACCCTCTACTTCTACCAGTGTCTGGCTTCTTTTCGTTAGCAAATTTCCTAGTTTTTGTGTGCTCATTTTGGGATTATGTTCTTCTTTTAAACTCGCCGTGAAGGTTAATGTTTTGTTTTATCCGAAACTTGTCGCGTGGTTATAGTAACTGTTTAAAAAACAATCGTTTGGACATCTTGGATATAGATTGGCACAAGAGTCTTCAACTGCTCAGTCATTCTTGTCACAAATATTTAAGGTCGCCTCAACAATGCAATAGAACCATTGAAGATGCAGGACTTAAAATACTTCCTCAAGTTATCAAAATTGCTGTTCGTTTGTTCATTTAAGATCAGTTCCTGCATCAGGCAACGATGTTATTATAATGAAATTTAGCACTAATTTGAATTGTATCTTGGGCAGGGGAAATTCTTTGTATCTGTCTAACAGTCATACGAATAATTTAACTTTAAAGCTTCTAACAATGCTTTAGGAACATAAAATTTCCACATCAATCGAATGAGCATTGCATCTCAATTCTGAACAGTGTTGACTTTAACTGTCTTTTGTTTTAGATTGCGAAGTGGTGCCACAAGTTAATGTTGCTAAGAACAAATTCAACATAAAGCTGAAGATACCTGGACCGGATATGGTCGAGCTAGAACTCGGCTGCAATTCCGATATCCAATATGGCAGATGGATGGCTGCGTGCAGGTTGGCTGCCAAAGGAAAAAGCATGGCTGACCCAACGTATGATGTCGAGGTTGCGGGCATCAAAACCTTTATAGGTATGCAGAGAGACAACAAGGATGAAACTGACAACCCCGCAGTGGACAATTCAAGCATTCAGTGTGAAGACTTCGTTCCACCGAGGATTCTGAATAAGCTAAAAAGCAAGCAGGTTTGTATTTTTTTGCTCAAACAAGAAAGGAACTCAATATTTCTTCCCTAATAGAAGGCTCAGCAATGAAAGAAAGCGGTAAAGTTTCATTCGCAAGCTTTCAAGATGCCTTAATTCAGAATGTCAAGATGTGTTTAATCATAACCATCGTTAACGATGGCTTCTGCCGAAGGATAACCCTCTTTAAAAAAATGAAATTAAAGCACCTTAAAAAGCACCTTTGTTTTCATTTAAAGTTAAAGATTTACTTACAGCAAGGTCATCCTTCAATAAATCTCACGTTGAAAGCTTTTTACACAAAATTCGTTCCGCTTTTCCAAGTGCTGTTTTGAGTCAATTCCGCGAAAGCGTCTGTTTAAATTTTGGGAAACTCCGCGTACGAAGATCAGAAGAAGTGTTGATATTTCTATTTGAGTAAATAGAAAGCATGTAGATTAATTTTCTAATCGATTCGAATGACAAGAAACCTCGAAAGGAATTCGATCGTTAGTAATCAATAGATAAATGCTATATTGACTGTTAAAACTATAAGAGAAAAGGCAAAGTGTTATAGCATCAAAGTCTCACATTGCATTGAAAAAGAAGTATGGGAAGTACCATATTTGAAATTTTCAAAACATCGCAGACAGCTTTTATCCCAAATCTTCTGCGGTCAAAGTCTTGTCTGGTTAACCGTCTAACAACATACCGCAACACTAGCGCAATAGACTTCCACAAAATTTTTCATTCGTTAACGCGTCCTCTCAAGTTTATCTTTCCCATAACAAAGTCATGAATTTGCTCGATAAAATGATAAGTGTCCTGAACTTTATTGCAGGTCGCGGCCAGAATCCTGGAAGCGCATTCTGGGTTTACAAAATTGACTTTATTAGAAGCGAAAATGAATTATGTACGACAATGGAAAGCTCTGCCGGAGTTCGGAATCACAATTTTTAACGTGAAATTCAAGGGTATGAGAGCGAAGAGAGCGGTAAGGTTTCTTCTTGGTCTACTCTTTTAGCTTTGTATATAATACACGTGATATTGTCCCACTGTCCAAGCGATTGTAAAAAATTTGTGGTTGGTCTCCTTTCCCCTAGTTGTTTCCTTCTTCTGTCATAAAGTTGTCTCTGGAATTATAATACGATTTGATCTTGTAATGTCGAAGATGTTACTTACAATAAACAATAGTCTAATTAGAAAATGTGAGTTGCCTGCTGAAGGATCAGTTGCATTTGTACGTCGATCCCCTGTTTTAATGTATTTTGCGCAATTTGCTAATTCATCTCTTTGACCATGACTATGGCTGACTCAGATTGATAATTACAAGCAATTTTCCAACGGCCTAATTTGAAATTTTATTAGTTTAATGTAAAGCTGTGAGTTATTCATCAAAGGAATGTTTGTCCATATAGCTTGTCAAAAAGATTCGCGTTGGTTCTCGTCAAGTATTATTTTTATGAAATTTTATTGTAGGAGATCCTGGGCATAACGCCGAGTCGTCTTGTAAGGATGGACCCCACTACGAGAGATATCTTGAAAGAATGGCGGTACAGCGCTATGAGATCATGGAACGTTAACTGGGAAACCAAGGAAATGATTATTCAATGCGAAGACGAAACAGTCGTGTTTTCATGCTGCGGCTTCGATGTTAAAATCATTCATGAATTTATTGGTGGTTATATTTTCTTGTCAATGCGAAAGGATGTCAATTCACCACCTGAGGAGGAGCTTTTCTTCAAGCTAACAGGAGGCTGGGTGTGATAATGAATTTTCTGTATCGAGGCTGTTATGATGAGCGAATATTCGTGGGTTCTGTCATCGAATAAAATGGCTTTCCCGAGTTGAGTTTTCAACTGCAATGATAATAATTTGATTAACTATGTCGCAGTCTCAAAATTTGCCCTTGAGGACTAGTCAAGAAGTACTGACAGACAGTTCCGATGCAATGTATTGTCGTTTATAGGGTTGCTTCAACCGCTTTCATCCTTTCATTCAACGCGCTTTTTGTGTAAGAAGTAGCAGCTGCTCTTCGATTAATGCCAAATGCCAAAAACATCTCAGAATTAACATGAGAGAGATTTCATCGGTATTTCGATCAAGGCACAACCTAATCATTTTCAGAAAGTCCCCCACCTCCTCCTACCCCCTCGCCGTCTTCCGGCAACCATTATAAATGTCTCTTAGGCACTTAAAAGAAGAAATACCAACCCAGTTTATTTGTTTTTCTAAGAATTGATTCACCTTTGCCAGTTTTTAGTTAAAAGATTGATAATACTGTGTCCTTGAACGGTGAACATGTGTTGTGAGTTGATATATCGCCATTCAAAGCATCGTTTCCTTCGCTATAAATGAGTTTTATGTAGTCATCGAAATATCAGTGATTTGTATCTTAAAAAGTTTGTTGTAACTTAAATATATCATATTTTGAATTATTGTATATAAATGATATATCCTAACAAACATTGATGCAAAATACTTAAGGCTACCTTTTATTAATCATTTTCGTTTCATTATTTTCAACTACTTTTTTACTGCACTGCTTCCTATCAGTTAACTCTCGACCATAACAATATCTGCAGCCTGAATGTTAAATTCAGTACATTTCAAATGAAGCAGTAACTGATTAAAAAGTCATAAGCGATATACATGTTCGTTACATATGCGATATATATGTGATTAATATGCGATATATATGCGATATATATGTGATTAAAGTGCGATATATATGCGATATATATGCATCCTCAATGTTATTCTCCATTCCCGGACTTTTCGGCTTGTTTGTTTCAATTTTTTAGATTTTTCTATGTTAAGTTTGCTGTTCGCTTTGTTTATGTTATTTTTCTTCAGATGATTGCAACAACTTAAAATTGTTGTGACATTACCCTTCTTATTTTGATTAGATATAACATATATTTTCTGTATCATTGTTCTATACGCAACTAGATAGCAAGGATCTTTTAAAGGAATACGCCATTCAATGCAGGCGTTAAACAAATTGCTCACGCTATGTAGGATGAACATTGCAATGTTTGCTTGCGTGTAGCTCACTTTATCCATCTAGCGAGACATCAAGTTATTGTGGCATCAAGGACGTCAACGAGTCTTCAAAAATGACGATGCTTTTCTTTAGAGTTAAGCAACCAGTGTTGCCAACCACGCTGCAAAGAGCTTCATGCGTAGTAATGATTTTTTATCACTAGCCAGAAAGTTTTATTAACCATTCGATTTTATATTTAGTTATTTTGACATATTTAATTAGCTGATTAAACTGAAGTATTGTGAATTGTTCTCTTTCTTCCAATTCTCTAGCATCGTGGAGCTTTTGCTGCCTTCGGTCCTCGGGGTATGTTGTTCATGTCTTGCGTTCTTCACAAGTTAACAAAAACATTGTCACTTCAATGTTAGAGATTATTGAATAATTTTTAAGATTAATGAAAGAAAAAATTCCCCTCCCGCCCCCTGTTCTAACGACCCTGGAGAAATGATTACCTGAGTGATTTCTTGTGCATAGGTAATATCTACAAGTAGATGCATACGGTGCATTGCCAAATTCAGTTTGATGCTTAAGATTTCAGTAGGCATGCTTCGGAGCTCATCTATTGCTATTATCCTGAATGAAAACGGGAAATGATCGTCAAGGGTAGGTGTGCCACAAAGCTCTGTCCTGGAGCCCCTTTTACTCAACATTGATGAAATTTTCTTTGGCAATAATGAAGTCTGTAAATATGCTGACGACAAAACCATTTTTGCTTAGTTTCTGATGTAAAAACGTGATGTTTAGGCCCATACAAAATTCTATGATGCAAAATGCCGCTTTATGTTTTTTGGAAATATTTCACTGACATTGCATTATACGATGGCACAACATGTTTGGAGTAGTCTTATAAAAAGCTTGCTAGGGCGTGAAAACCTAACTAAAGCTTTGAGCATGAAGCATCATGTTTAATAACTTTGCAAAATGTTAAAGAAATGAATCATAGGATTTGAACCTTCATGTTAAAACTAGTCCATGTAGAAAATCTTATGTTGTATGGACAGACGGGTCACGGATTATTCCGTTTCCAAGTTTTAGCATTTCCTAGGTTTCACCGGAATTGGCTGCTGCAGTGAAAAAATTTCACCGAAGCAGCATGAAATCTTTAGTAAAATCTTTAGCTTGAACAGGGCCCTTCACTTTTTTGCAAAACAGTTCAGTTTTTATCAAAATCTTTTGCGATGGGTGTTTAATTTTCCTGTGCCTCCCGCTTTTCAACTTGTGTCGAAGCCCATGTTGAAAACGTAGTAACTCCCGAATGAGCTGTCCAAACGACATGAAGGTTTCAGTAGAGGCTAATCTCAACCTGTGTGAATAAAGGAGAGGCCACGATAGCAGGCTGCTCGACGGACTCCGATGGAATTCTTGCGGCGAAAAATCGATGAAATAGTAGTAAATAAGGAACACTGAAACCCGGCGAGAATAAACAACAACAAACACACATAGAAATGTTATAGCTAATATCTCGCCACGGGGCTTCATCAGAGCAAAAAAGCTCAGCATGACAATTTCAAATCTGAGGCTAATTTTTGGCAAAAATCTATAGTTAGCGTTGATCATGTCAACCCCCAATTAAAATTTGTGAAATGCCAAATCCAAACATTTTATTTAAAAAAACTTCTAATTTCCTTGTTCTCCCAATCATTTGAGAGACAACAAGGTTTCAATCCTGTAGATGAATTCACAATATCCAGAGATCGAAATCTTTGATGAAAAAAATTGGCCTTTATCCTAAATTCATGAGAGATATTTTCGTTGACAAAAAACATCCCTCTCAAGTCACAAGTCATACTTGCCGTGACACTGACTGGTATTCACTTTTGATCAAAGCGGCTACCATTTATAGCTGCAAGTTATGGTGGGTGCTTTCCAAGGATATAACCCCTGAAATAATTCTTGCTTTACTCTGGCTGATGAGTTTGCCTTTCTAAAAATTTGCCTGTTTACTGCATATTTCAACCCAGTGGAGTGGAGGTTAATATGGGAATGTACTTTTGGCATTATTCAGTCAGAAAGCGTTTTCCGCAAAGAACATCTTTTAAATGTTTCTGAATTGCTCCTACCAGTCCGCCAAAACATCAGCACGGTGGCGCCAGGGGGGGGTATAGGGGGGTGTTAGTTGCTATAGTGAAAAATGTGCCAGCACCTTCAGCTGATTGCGAAAAGATGAGTTAAACATGAAATTTTGTAGCTTTTAAAAAATATTCCATGGGGCGAACAAATTTATGTGTTTAAGTGGCGATGGGAAGGCGCAAATACCAAGGGGGACTAAATTGTTTAAATATAAAAGTAAGAAAATTAAAATCATTATTCAAATTGGCTTTCGATAATCATAGAGACTGAAACTTTGCTTTGAAAGGTAGAAGGACTGGACTGGCTAAATTATAAAGAGTTCGAAAATTCCATTCATTTTATATTTTGGCTTGGACTCGTTGGTATGTTGCAATAAATCTGAGCATTTGTTGAGTATAATGCGCTTGCCACAAGTATGAAAGAAGCAGGCACCACGCAGTCATTGGGCTAGCAGAGGCTTTAGCCCCCCCCCCCCACTGCAATAATAGGCTAGAAATTTTTTGGGAAAATTTACTCTAACACAACTTTGGATAGTTTACTCCTATGAACTAGCAGTTCTTCTTGACTGGAAACCTATTTTGTTCATTTTCTAGGTGTTTTATCTTGTTTAATGATATGATGTATTTTCTAACTTAGTAAGCTTCGTGTTTAAGCAAGTATTTTTAAAAAGGGGCGTTTTCCGGCGTTCTAGAGGGCGAGGCCTCACAAAATTTTCGGGCACTCCCATTTCAGCCCCTCCAATTTTAAACTGGTGCGCTGTCCCTGGAAAGAAGGATGTGTGCCTGTTTCTTATCCGGGGCCAAATCCACTTACAATGCAAATTATAAGGAAAATAAATACAGCGTATTGTAATAGAGGTATAAATCATACATGGATGAAAGATCTACACTCTCAAAATATTTTTGAAGACCATGAGATGGGAAGCTATACAATTGATTATGACCAAGAGGGAGTGGTCCCTAAATTGGGTAAATAGCCATGTTTACTTTCAGCAAAGATAATTCTCACTATGTCCAACGTATGTCATTATTAACATGTCTCGATAACCATTAAATCTGTACCATTTTGGCACTTACTAATGTTTCGGAAAAAATGATATTTGTGCCTTTTTTATTCGTTTTGGCCCCCCTGCTCAAACCAGCGTCCGGTGGCCCTGTTAAATGCCCCTCCCTCAATTTCTGGCTCTGAAACTATAATAAAATAATTTTCCTAGATATTTTTATATTGATATTTGATGAAAAGTAATGTTTTTGCAGCTCTTTCCAGGGATGTTCTTAGCTTGACCTATTTTCTAAATCCTAATCTATAATTTAGCTCAAACTGCTCTGCAGCTTCTGACCCGAATCTTCTTATTTCTTTTGAATACAAAGTGGGCCCTACTGATGTGTCACGATGAAATAATTTTATTCTAGGGTCTCATGTGACACTCTTAAATACACGCAAAAAAATTTTTATTCCACTAAAATGTTTGGAATTCCCAATCTACCTCTGATTACAATCAAATAACTCAAGTTCAAGACATGAGGTAAACCTTCATTACATGATTTTCTGTTTATTTCATACCTTAAAACCAGGGGCTGACCCAGAGCAAATTCGAAGGGGGGGGGGGCAGTTGTTAGTGGGGGCGCTGAAAAATTTTCCGAGATTGGTGACGAGTGTAAACCGTATACAACATTTTCAGACCCTAACTACTGACAGTGACAGAAGGCTCTCTATTCACTCTGTGAAGAAATTTTCACAATAGTTGTTGTATACTTTCAGATAATCCTTGAAGTAAATTAACCTTTAAGCCTCAGAAACTTTTCCACCTGATTCTCATTCTTCAAAAGGGGCGCACAATTTCCTAAAAAGGGGCGCCAGATTTGCTTCCACTCGGTGAGGGAGGGGCAACTGCCCCCCTCAAATCCGCCACTGCTCAAAACATATGGATGATTAAGAGTATTGCGTCCCCCAGTCATGATCAAATCTCTGAGCTTTAAATCTGTGTAGAATGGAATATCCCTAGACGTGGACAATGTAATTCGTCTGGGAAACACAGAAAAGACGCGCCCTGGTGGTTACAAACAAAACGCAACCATGGTGAACGATTACTGCCAATTTGAAGCAACTTCATAAAAGGTGCCACTCCCCCTCTGGATTTCAAGCCTAGTCCTTAGCAAGCCTAGAATAAAAGCTACCAAATAGCAGGTACAAGCAATAAAAAACGACCATGTATGATGGACTAGCCACCAAGCTTATTACTTATTAAATGTGTATGTCTAGCATACTCTTTCGACACGACCGTTAATGATTTTCGACTTATCTGTGCAATTAAGATAAATACTTGGGTTATCAATATTATTCGGCACAGCCGAGCTAAAAAACCCTGGAGCCTTTGCAACAAGGGCCGGGGCATTTAAGGCTACAAAATTACGTAAAGCAGCTAACTCTCTTTGCAAAAGTACAACTTTGCTCCTCAATTGATCATTCTGGTCTGACAGTTGAGACACACGGACTTCGGTCTCAATGTGCTTCATCTTCGACTTGTTTCGGCTCTTGCGAACAGCAATATTGTTTCTCTCTCTCTTCATTCGATACTCATCAGTCGACTTGTCACAAGACTTCCTTTTGCTCGCTTTTTGACTAGATTTTGCTTTCCTAGGGCCGCTGGGGGCAGGAGATGCTTGCAAGTCCTGGAAGTGGGTCAAGGCCTGGTGAAGTTTATGATGTAGAGGTTCGTTTTGCTGTACATTCGTCTTTCCAGATTGGAGCTGATAAACTAAGCTGTCTTGTCTGCATTCATTACCATAAAACTTTGGTGAGGGAATATCAATATTTTCAAAATCGTGCTCGGGAAGCAATGATTCTGGAGTCGAACATCTGGAACTAGCTGATGAATAACATGGTTCCTCCTTTATTTTGACAGGGCATGGAAGAGGTTTCTCCGTCTTTTCCTCAACAAACAAATCATCGAAGAACTCTTCTGGACTAGCAGGTAAATCTGATGATGTTAAATACTTAGAAAAATCAAGGACACTATCCGTTATAAGAACATCTGAATCTCTGAGGCGAAACTCGCAATCCATGATGCTTTGTTGTTGTTTTTTCGACACAGCCGGTGTTGAGCTTGTACAATTTATTTGTAGGCTCGAATCATTGATGTTCGTCGCTAAACTTCCCCAACATCTTGAAAATTCGTCCCTCCTATCTTGTAGGTTATCCAAGATGGATGTGAAAACGGGAAAACCGTTCTGGGACTTTATTTTCGTAGATTTTCTTTGCACTAAGGCGAACTCGTCCTTCGTTATCACAGCGACATTTGCAGAGGCTTCTCCTCACCTTCCAACCGTGAAATCAATCATGTGCAGCTCTTCTGATTGGCTAATCTGTTCCTATTGTCTTTTTATCAGGGAGTGACAAAATGTGTTACGGGTGAGATTGAAGGGATCAACATCTTGCTATTTGAGTCTCTTTAGGGAGCTTTACCCCCGTCCTATTGTTTTAATTTTAATGGTCCAATTCGTGAAGCATACATTGAGTAGGCCTAAGCAAGCAGTCACGTAAGAGATGCAGATGCGCTGAATTGAGTGCAAGGGAAGCAGTAGAAGCGCTTGTAGTTCATCAAAAATTTATACTAACGAGTTGTGCTCAAAGATGGCTACTATGCACTGTATGTGTGTTTATCGTGAGATGTCTCGCCACGCACGTTGTGGCTTTAGCCTGCATAGACTTTTCCACGTTTCACAGAGATTGGAGCACGATCCAAATTTGAAAAAGAAGAAGAAATCTGCTATGGACCTGGCAAAGGAAAAAATGAGGCAGGAGAAACAAGCAGCCAAAAGAAGAGCCGAACCTATTCTTATTCCAGTTGATCCTGACTCAGTTCCAGGTATTTTTGTCGTAAATTTTTCTCTCAAATGTATGCAAAATTTTAGGAGATGACAAAATCAAGAGTGCTAGTTGTAACTTTTAAAGTTCCACCAGTATAATTTTCTCGAAGAGAGACCTTGGTGCTCTATTGACAAAAAAGCTGCACAATGGCCTTCTGATTATGAATGAATTAAAATATGTTTCATTCTAGTCCAAATAAATATGTCTGATAATCATATACATACTTATGTATGCATAAATGTTTTGAAGGGGATAAATTTTTGTGCCCATCTTCTTGTATAGGATATGTGTTAAGTAGAACAGATTGTCTATAGCTGCTATACATTGTGTAATTTTGTATATTACTGATGAAGTAAAGAAGAGGGAATATTACTGATGAAGTTGGAATATGACCCTACTAAGTTTGGAAGCAAAATGTTGCACCACAACCACAACCTCCTCCATTGAATGATTCCCCTGTACGTCTGGCAGATGAAATGCAGCATTAAAATATCTGTGGTACTTAAAAACTGAGCATATGATACTTAAAAGCAGAATCTCCTAGTAAAAGATTGGTTTTTGTTATCATATGATAGACATTAAGACAAATGGAAAGGAAATTAAAAAGATGAGAGATCTTTATAGTAGACAGAAAGGGGGTTGGGGCAGAACATTGATACATATGCAATATCAGTTCTGAGAGCGACCAGTTTTTATATGCAACAACCGCTGCTCCTTTGCATTGGTTGTTGACAATTTGTGCCTCTTATTTAACAATATGGTCAAGTGAATCGGTAGAGTGGAAATGTTTAGGTCTTTTTCACAGTATGCACACAAAAAATCCTTCTGTGGGGTTCTTTAGGCTTTTCAAACTTCTCTGCATTCTTTGTACTCAAGACAAACATGCCAAATTAAAATATTTTTAATGGCTAGTGATTGAGGATAAAGATCTTGTTTACAACACTTGATGTTCCTCTTAAAAGTCAGGGGCAAAAATGTTTCTTAAAGCGTTGAATGGGTGTAAAATTGTGCACAAATCTCTTCTCCATTTTCAGCATAACAAAATTGCATGTTTCCCAACATATGTTTTGATGACAATAATATACCGAGACAATTTGTACAGAGTTGGGCAGAATCCAAGGGGACAGACATTTTATCTGCTATACCAGAAAATATATTGGCAAACATGTAATTCGAATGTAGTCCTATGATTACTTTAAATTTTTTAATTTAATATGCAACCCTGAAAAGATGTTAAGCTTTTTCGAAGTGGCATGAAGTGGAATGATAAACATATAAACCCATCTCAAAATCACACAGCCAATCATTAAGAATTCTGAAGAAGGCGTGTGATATTTTGCATTCCTGGAAAGCAGTAGGCATTCACCAGGGCATGATCGATTGCATGCCTTTCTGACAGAAGCCTGTTCAGGTTTCTTTAAGAGCATTCTTAAAACTATCATCCTTGTTCCCTACGATTTGATTGCTTTACCCTATTGCCTGAATTGACCCTCCTGGTATTAGCCCATCTTGAATAAGCCCCCCTTCTTGGAAGTAAAAATGGTTAATTGTGCATTGATTTATACTTTTTGGTTTGATGTTATTGAACTTGAAAATTGTAAAAAAGTTACCAAACCAGAAGTTTGTGTGTTAAGTAATTTTTTTATGAGCTCCCTGTGTAAGCCCCCTCAAATTATCCCCATTTAAAAACTGCCTAAATTTATAAGCCCCCAGGGCCCTTATTTTTTGACTTACTGCATGTAACCACTTGTGTTTTAGACAATTGCATCTGTAGTAAGCTCTTACAAAAGAGATTTGCAAAAGTTTTTACTTAGAGGTCAATATAATTCCCGGAAGCTCCTTTTATTTACTAGTTTTTTGCAGGCCATATTTTTATAAATTGAAACTTATTTCCAACTTGTTGAATGCTCCACCCCTTTGACACTATTTTTAAAATGTGAAACCTTTAACAGCTTTTCTAATACAAATCAAATTTGCCTTGAACTACTTCATGACTTCTCCCAGGGTTGTGAAAAATAGTTATTTCAAACAAATCCAGTTGCCTTGAGATACCTAAATGCAAAGTTTAAGCAATAGATTTTCTAATTCATTGCGTTGTGCCAAGAAAATGAAAAATGAGGAAAGAAAAAAGCATGAAAAAATTAAGATCTTTTTTCCAAATATATGATGAACATCTGAGAACAAAAGAAAATGTATTTTAACTTGGGCAATTATATAATGGTCTTGAAACTGAGTTCTGTAAACTTGCTGCATCATAGCTTGTTCCGCCGTTTTTTAGGTATTTTAAGTCTGTGAATCGCATTCTCATAAAGCATAAAGGCTCTTAGTTGTCTGGGAAACAAACTGGAAGCGCAACTAGAAAAGTTCAGACTCATCATCATCATCATCATCAATTTCGTTAAAATTGCCTATTCATAATATCGAAGAACCATTCCTCCACATTCTTCGTACATTGCAAAAACCGTGCTATTTTTATTAACTAGGCAAGTATCCAGAAAATCAGAATTCCTATAAATACAGTAATATAATTTCAAAACCCGTCAGAATTCCCATAATTTCAAAACCCATGAAAGTTTGCTCCCGAAACCCCCGTCTTTAGGAACACATTATTACAGTAATGCATCATTATAATCAAGATCAATCGTGCCTGCCTTCGTAATGAAGCATTTTTCTAGAACGCAATTATTTGCAGTGCATTAAACTTGAAGTGAGTCGTAACTGTCGTTCATTGTAGATCCGTTGCTGTTTGAAAGTAGCAGGACCAGACTAGTGCCAGAGATGTCACCTGAAGTCAGTGAGGAGAGAATTCTCTTATCCAAAGAATGGGCAAGACATTCAATGAAAAATCACCGCGAAGAACTCCATAAAGTACAACTTCGCTCGAAAAGCAGACAGGACGCACTTCGAGAACTGAAGAAGATATCCACTGAGTTATTTAATGAAGCAATCAAAGTAAACAGAACTATTTTCCCGTTAGTATTGAATGGTCCGGTCGAGACACCGCCTTTGGAAGGGTATGTTGCACCGGACCTTGATGATATTAATGTCAAGCAAGCAAAGAAAAGTTAAAATTTTTATGATAGGTTTTTTGTAGCTGACCTTGGTATTGGTTACTTATTATTGTAACGAGCATTTTTCCTCGTTTTAGAATTCTTTCATCGTGTTAAATCGGTATGACATGTTGCAAAAAACAGTTTTTTTGTTGATATTTTCGTACACGTAGCAATGTATTTTAATCAGATCAAATCTTTCAATAAGCTCGATGAACAGCATTTTCCCTTTTTTTCAATAATGTTTTTGCTCTTTTTGGAGACCTATGGTTTGTTTTCCGCAAAGATTTCTAATCGCATCACATTTCTTGCCTAAATACTGCTGCAATGAAATTTTCTATAACGCGTCAAAGCTTTAGACTGATTGCTTTTCCGTAATATAGGCATTAAAATATTTTTTATGTTATAGCTCCTTGTACCAAAGTCATAGAAAAGTTATGTGTGCTATATAAAAATTTTTTTGCCTGTCTCAATTGTTTTTTTTCTTTTTTGCTCCAATTTATTCCAGCTACATACAGCTGTTTGATAGAAACCTGAATTTAATGGGATATGTTTATACTGTCACAGACGGCTTGACAGTCCGTCATTTTAAGAATTTAGGAACCTAGCGTAGATTATCTTCAGAATAAGAGATTTGACATGAAAGTACCTAAGTATTTGTAATAAATACTAGCAAGTTAAGGTACATAAATTGGAATTCCAGCGACTTCTCTTCGGTCTTCTCTGCCAACTACAGAATTGAAGTGTAACTACAATTATTATCAATGTGTTTTGTAAGCTTCTAAAAGTTGAAATCGAACAAGGAAAAAAATCAAACAGTGTATGAAGTTTTTTTCAAGCAATACCACTCGATATAGAATATTTTGATTCAACATTTGACAAATTTAAACGGAAAAAGGTCTGTGAACGAACTATTTTCCTCAAGAGGCACATAATGCGTTTTGTCGCCTGGAAAGTTGGTGATTTTGTAACCCTTGGCAATGTATTTATAATTGAGTTAAGTGGTCCGTCTTGTGTCAATGTAAAACGGCGGGGCTCACGATAAAAGGCAGATTTGTAACTTTTACTTTAATGAAAACCTCGTTTTGACTACTGAAATTGAATCTTAATTCCAGATTATACTTCAACAGGAAAAGTTACTGAGCTGTAGAGATCCAGACATATGCATCGTGAAAAGTCAAACTAATTGACTTGTGTAATTAGTTTTGTTGGAACAAAGTTTATATGAATGCAACGCGATTTGACACATTAAAAATAGTCAAAGTTGCAAACATCTAATAAAAGGAGAAGGCTGGAGTTGAAAAAAGCTAAGAATACTACATAGCTTGTGGTGACGTAAGTGGTGCTGTGGAGGAAAGGAAATGGCATTTGGATGTCTCATTCTGGAAGTCAAATTATCAGCTCTTTCAAAATGACATATGCTTCTGAAATTGATCTTGAGGCAATTTTTCTTATTTTATGTATATGGAAAATGAAAAAACGGGTATATTGCAACTTGCATATTGAGAACACGAAGCCTTTTAATACTGTTTAGAATCAAAATCATACATTTTTTTATAAGAACCAGATATTTTTTGCCGAGCCTCGATTTTCTTAACTTTTTTATAATTTTAGGCTCAAATGTTCTTAAAATTGTTCTTATTTTAAGAGTGATTTTTTTGCAATTATTTGAGAACTTACATACTGTTGTGCACCAGATCGAACGAACCATTGTAGGGTATAATTTAAATATTTGGCAAACACTTTATTTCCGCTGTTAATTATCTATGTTTCTTTTGGTTGTAGTTCTTACGTGTTTTTAGCTGATTGGTTGTTATTAATAGTTGTAAAATGCTTGTATCTATAAATACGCTGTAGTAGTTTTAAGAATGAGGCTTTTTGGGAGAAGCATCTTGCTGTTCGTTCAAAGTACTGACAAAAGAAGTCGTTGTCTCTCTGTTCCTCTCTGCCACAAGTCGAGTTGAAAAGGGCCGTGAGTTATTTTATATATACTTGGTTGCACTGTAGTTAAAGTGTAGTATAACATATTGGTGACCACGACGTGACCGGTCGAGAATACTTATTGGCGTGCTGAAAAAAAACCGATAAACTTGCGTTTTACATTTTGGTGTCGAATATAGGTTTTATTGCATTTTTCATTGGCCGTTTTGACGTAGTCGCTGCATTTGCTCGGGTTTGATGCTTTTCATATGTTTTTGTATATAGTTTCTTTTTCTTATTTCACTTGCCGTTTTGACGTATTCACTGGAATTGTTCGGGGTTGATGTTCTGGGTATGGTTTTTATTTCTTGTTTCTTTGGAAATTTTGACGTCTTCGCCGCATTGGTTATCTTGTATCGTTTTTATTATTACGTCGGATTTCCGTTAAAAGTGAAGATTGAACTGAACTTTCGAGAAGCAATTTCAGAATGCTGATATACTTATATGATATTGTCTAAAGATTGTTCAAGACAGACTTTAATTCCGCTCGTTTTCTTTTTGATAACTCGAAAACAAAATCCGTGGTTGCACTCATTTCGGCAAAACTTTGGAAATATTGTGAAATTGTTTAGTTATTCACGTAGTTAAAATGGAAGCAACGGTAGAAGAATTACAAAACCGTGTGTCTGCTATGCAGGCAGCCCTGGAGGGAAACGCCCAGTCGGGACTTTTTAAACAACCGCCTTTCAGTGGATTCCAAAATGAAGACGTAAATGAATGGGTTGTAAAATTTAATCGACTTGCCAGGTTCTATGGTTGGGGCAATGCAAAAAAATTAAGTGCACTTCCATTGCTGCTTAATGGCCCAGCTTTGGCATGGTTTCAGACGCTCTCAGACGAAACTGCAGGAACTTTCGATAGCTTAATTGAAGCTTTAATTGCAAGATTTGGCAACCAAAACATCCAGTTTTTGATACGGCAAGAACTTTATGCCCGAAAACAGCTCGAACATGAGCCTCTAGTAACCTACACTGAAGACATCATAAAAAAGTGTCAACGACTGAATCTAAATGAGTTAGAAATGATGAACATTTTCATAAACGGCCTAAGCGCAGAACTAAAGAACCATGTTGTTTTAAACCAGCCAAAAACTTTCACAGAGGCAGAAAACCTTGCCCGCCTCCGTGACGCCGTTTCAAAGTCTTTCGGCCCAACCGTCCCGCAAACCATTTCGCAAGACCAGCGTATTAAAGAACTTGAGGGCCAAGTTAATATATTGCTTGCGTTGGCTAGCAACAAGAGAACCGGCCAGTTAAACGCTTTAGATCAAATTGATTATGGTAACAACTTGGGTGGTGGTACATATGTTGCAAATCAAAGCTCTTTTCAAAGTGACCTCCTGAATCTTAAAACAGAGCTAATTGCTGCAATTGATCAACGTTTTGTGTCTGGCAAACCTCAACCCATGAACAGGCTTCAACAAGGTGTAAGGGAAAGCTATGCAAGGGGGCGTAATTTACGTACCACCGATGGGCAACCTATTTGCAACAACTGCTATCGTGTGGGTCTTGTGGCTCGATATTGTAGAAGTAATAATAGTGGTGTTTCTGGTAGAGAAAATGCAGTTCAAAATAATTCTCGCTTTCGGTCAACTCAAAACCTTCAGCAGGACAGATCCGGTACAAATTATTTAAACGAACAAGGGCCTTCTCGTTGGGGGAATTGAAGGAGGCCCAAACGGTTGAAAAGCAAATGAAGCCCCCGTTTTGTGAAAAAGCTGATTCGTCTTTCGAACAATGGGTTAATAAACGAAATCGTTTGACTAGTGCCAAGTTTCAATTAGAAAAACCTCTAAATGACATTGATATCGAGCCAAGAAAGGGAACCTACGCAGTACCGTGCTTACTAAACGGGAAATCATCAAGTGACGAATCTTCAATACTTGGAAATGTCTTAATTTGGGGATCAGTTGAAAATGAGCAAGTTAAATTACTCGTAGACACTGGCGCCGCTATTTCCGTAATTAGTGAAAGTTTTTTTAATTCTGCTCTGCGCATGCATTACTCGCTGCAGACGCCGCGTAATGGACTCGAAAGTATTCAAACTGCAAATGGTGCCACTGTTGCTGTGAAAGGTTTTGTGACGTTTCCTCTCACCATTGGTAATGAGCATTATGAATGTCAGGCCTCAGTTGTCTCTGGCCTAGCTTACAATGTTGTGTTAGGTCGTGACTTTCTGCATAAAACCCATGCTGTTATTGATGTTCCTGGCCATATTGTAACATTTAAGAATGATAACACTGTCTCATTTATAACTGGCAATACACCTCCATTGCTTTGCTCTGTCGCAGTTTTTTCTTCATTCGTCATTGAACCTCGTTCTGAAGCTATTATTCCTGTGCAGCTTTTGCAGTCGCACAGTAGTTCTGTCGCAGGCCTCGTCGAAGGTAATGAGAAATTAACCTCTCGTTATCGCCTCCTCCCAGCAGCTTCCATTTCGTGCCCAACTAGTGAAGGAAATGTCTCGTTTCGTTTGTTAAATCCTTCTGATGAACCAGTGCTTCTTCATAAAGGAACAGTCATCGGCACGTTTTCTGAACTTTTGCACACTGACATCGTTCCTTTAAAAAGTAGTGTCTCAGCTATGGATTCTGCTCCACAACATCACAGCCTCCTTTCCGAACTTGAGTCTATTAAGAATGTCGATCTTTCAGAGGCCCAGAATGCAGCTCTCTCACAATTACTTTTATCGTTTAAAGATATTTTCGCCTCATCTAGCCTTGATCTCGGCCATACTTCCATCATCGAACACAAAATTTACACAGGGGATGCTCGGCCTATTAAGTCTTCACCTTATCGAGTCTCTCAATTGCAACGTGAAGAAATTGAAACACAGATTTCAAATATGCTATCTCAAAATGTGATTCAACCTTCTGCGAGCTCTTGGAGCTCTCCTGTAGTTTTAGTAAAGAAGAAAGACGGTACGACGAGATTTTGTGTCGACTATCGAAAATTAAATGCTGTCACTCGCAAAGACAGTTATCCTCTTCCTCGCATTGATGATGCCCTTGACGCTCTTTCTGGATCTCAGTTCTTTACAACGCTCGATCTGCAGTCGGGCTATCACCAAGTTGCCATGCATCCGTCTTCACGAGAAAAAACTGCCTTCGTTTCACATGCAGGATTGTTCGAATATAATGTAATGAGTTTTGGTTTAACAAACGCTCCACCGACTTTCCAACGATTGATGTCGAGAGTTCTTGCTGGCCTAGAATGGAAGGTTTGTCTCATCTATATAGACGATATTATCGTTTTTTCTTCTACTTTTGAAGAACATTTGCAAAGGCTGTCTCTCGTTTTCGATCGCATACGTCAGGCTAACTTGAAATTGAAACCAAGTAAGTGCCACTTTGCTCGCC